CTCATCCTGCAGACATTCGAATGGCACGTCCCAGCAGACCGCCAGCACTGGCGCCGTTTGCAAAACGCTTTACCTGGTTATCAGGCCATTGGCGTTGACCAGTTGTGGATCCCGCCTGGTTGTAAGGGGATGGACGTGAATGGGAATGGGTATGACATCTATGACCTCTATGACCTTGGCGAGTTTGATCAGAAGGGTGCTGTGCCTACGAAATGGGGGTCGAGGGGTGATCTCGAGTCATTCTTGTCTGAAGCGCGGGAGCTTGGGATGGGTGTTATTTGGGATGCTGTTCTTAATCATAAAGCTGGTGCTGATTTTCCTGAGAAATTTCCGGCTGTTAAGGTTGATCCGAAACGTGGGTTTTTACATTCCTTTATTCTTGGTTTGGTGCTAATGCGCGAATAGGGAGAGATGTGAAGTTATCCAAGCCGTTGGAAGTCAATGGCTGGACAGGCTTCGATTTCCCAGGCCGGGGCGAGATGTACAGCAGTATGAAATACCGCTGGGAACATTTCAGCGGCGTCGACTGGGATGACAAGAGCAAGGAAAACGCCATCTACAAGATTACCGGCCCCGGCAAGGATTGGGCGCAGGACGTCTCCACCGAGAACGGGAACTATGATTATCTCATGTTCGCCGATCTGGACCTGGCGCACCCCGCGGTTCGAGAGGACCTCTTGCAGTGGGGAAGTTGGATCACCCACACATTGAGTCTGAGTGGCATGAGGCTGGATGCAGCCAAGCATTTCTCTGTTGGCTTTCAGCGCGCGTTCGTGGACCATGTGCGGAAAACGGCCAATCCGGATTTCTTTGTGATTGGTGAGTATTGGACTGGGAACGTCAAGGCTCTTCTGGAGTACCTCAAGGAGACAGAGTACAGCCTTACGGCGTATGATGTTCCCCTTGTCGAGAAGTTTTGCAAATTGTCCCATCAGCAATCGCCAGACCTCCGTGGCATCTTGAAGGATACTTTGGTACAGTGTCGGCCGGACCATGCTGTGGTAAGTTCACTTCGAATTCGTGGAGGCTCATACCAAGAAACCAATGCTGACTTTCACAGACCATCGTTTCAAACCATGATACGGTAAGTACCTGACAATTGGACCAGTGCATTGTGGAGTTCATATTCATCTAACTTGCCAAAAGCAACCAGGACAGATGCTCGAAGTAAGTCAACTAGCCCCCCGGAGCCCCAACCAATCTAACAATCCCACCATAGACCCCGGTAGCCCCATCCTTCAAGGTTCTAGCATACGCCCTAATCCTTCTCCGCAAAGAAGGCCATCCCTGCGTCTTCTACGGCGACCTCTACGGCATCCGCGCTAACGTCAAAGACCCAATGACACCAAGCTGCAATGGCAACCTACCACTCCTAACCCAAGCACGCAAACTGTACGCCTACGGCGAACAACAGGACTATTTCAACCAACCAAACTGCATAGGTTCGTCTTACCCTTCCACAATTCATTTACCCATTACGGAACACGAGGAGGGTCCAATCAATCCGCCTTGGCATAGTTGACCACAATACAGGTTTTGTCCGCTACGGTAACGCCCGTCATACATCTGGTCTTGCCTGCGTGCTCAGCAATGCTGGCTCGGCTGTACAGCGCATGTATGTTGGAAGGGAGCGTGCGTATCAGCAGTGGGTTGACATCTTACGGCCGGATGTGAAGCCTGTTGTTATTGACAAGAAGGGGTATGGGTACTTCAGAGTTGCTGCTATGAGCGCTAGCATCTGGGTTGAGGCGGTGGCTTTGAGTCGGGATGGTTTGAGGCGTGATTTGTATGTTTTCCTCTTTCCCTTGTCCCTTTCCGTTCCTCCCGGTTTCCTCCTTGATTCCGCTGTGCGTTTGACTTTTGGTGGTGGCTGACTCTGACTCCGATGTGGCTGGCAGTGACGTGAACATCTACAACTAATTCTTTTACAATACCCGCGACGTACTCAATCTATTGTAACGTTAATAGAAATCAAATCTCACTGTACATTATACCATACAATTGTGCACGTACCTGTACACATCCTATCGCTGTGCGGCGCAACCCGACCTCGTATTTCCTCAAAATAGAAAAACAAAATCAACTCACAATTCCCAAAGTGGAACACCGAACATATGCCACACCAAGACCGACACCCAACAACCACAGTATGAGCACAGTACACGTTACGGGGAGATGTGGCGCCTTTGCAAGGCAAATAGCGATGGCAAATGGCATCATTGAATTACCAATGTGGCCGGACGGTATCTGGCCGATCCTCGGTGAGAGTGAGACAACGGTCTGCCTAAATTGTACATGTACCATCGGGTTGGAGACTTTCCCTTACCTTACAGCAATGTATTCCGTACCCGAACTGGAGAGTGGGTTTGACGTGTCAAGCGAAATTTGAATGTCTCATGAACCCTCAGAATGGATCTGTGGAGTCATTGAGACACCGAAATCGAAGTCACAATTCACGGTACCGGTAAATAAAGGTATGGACTTTTCAGATATGAGACATTCCCAAAAAACGTGTCCGGGCCATGTTTTGGTTGCTTTTTTTCCTCTGCTCGATGTAATCTGGAATGCACTGCACGTGGGATACATTTACCCCTTACTGGGATTATGTTGCTTTGGTGTTTGTTATCTCTGAGATTTTAGCTTTGTCGCTTGTCGCATGGCGTGATACGGTGGCTTTGTTTTGAAAATACATAATACTATGTACGGTCCACGGGTAAATGGCGCTCTGTAATTTGCAAAACCGGTAAATTACGAGTTCACGGACGACGCATCTAATATAAAAAGGAAAATAAATAATAAGTTCCGCCAAGTATAACTAGTGGCTTGTCTTAGCTTATTCTTTATCGGCCCAATACTATTGTGACAACGTGTATATGCTCTGTATGCGCTGACTCCGGTGCTCTGAGACTAGCTTACAGTAGGACCCTGTTTTGCGTCTCAGCGGCTCAGTTGTATCCCACTTTCTCAAGTAATACATTGATTTAGATATTATTAGATACTGGGGACGGCGATGTCCTTGGTTCTATTTTCGTGTATTTTTGTGTCGTTTTGTGGGAGTATACGAACATCAGGGTCTTTGATATAGAAAAGAATATATTGTGCTTTCCTATTTAAGATCAGGGTCTTCGTCGATCAGGTTCGCCTAATTTACACGTCTCTCGCATCCTCAGCTACTCTCTTTTTTCTTCATCCACTTCTTCTTTTTTCAGTCTCTCGCTTTTTCATTCACTCGTTTTCATAACAACCAGCCATTATGCGTCTGTCACTCGCTCTGTCTGTCCTGCCGCTGGCACTCTCCGTCTCGGGTAAGCTGATTCCCGTGTAATATTTTGATATCCAATGATCTGACTCGCCTTTCAGCTCTCAAGGTCACTGAGCCCGAGCAGGGTGCTATGATTGACACCTCCGACTCTCTGGTTGTGAAGTGGACTTCCGTCGAGTATGTTTACCATTTTATCCAACATACAGCCTTGGAATGCACCTAATCTACGAGCATCGTATAGCTAACCCGAACTAGCACCGACGAAACGAGCTTCAATGTCTTCCTCGTCAACAACAACGTCTACCCTCCCGTTCACAAGAAGATCGGCTCGGACATCAAGACTTCTGAGCACTCCTACACCATCGACAGCCTATCCGGTGTGACTGATGCGTACGATCAACCCAACCCCAGCTCCAAGAAAACCAACAACTAATGCGCAAAAACAGCAAGGGCTACCAGATCAACCTGGAATCTACCTCCGAGCACAACACCGGCATTCTCGCCCAGTCCAACCAGTTCAATGTGACCGAGTCTGCCTCAAGCTCCTCTACTTCTACTGGTGCATCCTCCTCCGCCTCCAGTGCTGCCACCTCTGGTTCTGCCACTGCCAGCAGCACTGAATCCTCTTCCTCTTCCTCTGTGTCCACAACTCACACTTCCGCAGGAACCTCCACCTCCACCAAGTCCGGTTCTAGCACCACCGCCACCGGTGCTACTACCACTGCCTCCGGTACCTCCACTGCCTCCAGCATGACCACCGCTACTTCCGCCTCGGGCTCTGCTAGCGGCACCGCTTCTGCCTCCGCTACTCCCTCCACCGGTGCTGGTGTTGCTCTCGGCGCTGCTCCCGTTGCTGTCGGTCTTTTGGCTGGTGTGCTTGCTCTTGGTCTGTAAATCGATTGAGGGTTAAGTGTGCCCACCAGGGGCTGCTGGTGTGGGCTTTTTCGGGAATTGGGTTCCATGATTTTTAATGGCATGAGTTCAATGGTGGGACGGGTGATGAATGGGGGAATTTTAATTTGCTTGCTTTCGTTTGGCTATCTATCCATTTAGACTTGGGTAAATACATAATAATACATATGACTGCTCTTTTTTGCGTACTGGTTTTCTTTGTATGATAGGACTTGTATAGGGTCTTTCACTTCTGCCTTTTTTTGCAGAGGAGGTAGCTGAAAAGGTAGTTGTTAAAATATGCGGTATACGCTGTCTCTCTAAGCAGTGGTATGTATAAGCAAGATCCACGGGACAAAAAGTACTATTTAGTCTTGCTCAAACGCGATGTCTTGGGAGTACTTCAGCGAGAGGTAAACTAGTTAATGCCCGATTGAGGGCAAACTACCAGTCCGACTGATTCAGAAGAATGATATAGTTTCGTGACAGCTATTGGATAGACCCCGTTCTATCGAAGCAGTGTAGGGAAGTTGTATATTTTGATCAACGCGGATACCAGATCTACTTGCCAAAGTCATCACTAACTACCCTACACCACGGGATTGTCAATGAAGGAAGATAAATAAGAGAAGAACTTGTATATCTATTCCTATATTTGGTTTACAACAGATCAGTTCCGAAGGAGGACATTACAAGCTTGACTGCATGATTGATCCGTACACCAGGTCCTTGACTACATACTTTAATGATCATCCCAGGCAAGATGAAACGACAATTAATAAAATGACAGATGTATATCTATATGCTGAGATCATATCTTCAAATACATAGCATCAGAATTCCACTCCTAAGCCCCATACTCCGGCTCATATCTGCCAGTGTCAATATTCGCTTCAATAGGCTTCACAAACTTCGGCCGGAACGCAATCTTATGACCGAAATATAAGACGGCAAACAGAATCAGACTGAGATAATTGATAAAGAAGTCCGTAACGCTGAACGATGGAATGAAAGCCGTAAAGCCCTGAGTAATGATAATCAAAACGTTAAAGAACAGACCATACCACGAAAAGAATGGCTGCCAAGTCGCTTTATAAGGAAGAGTATCGCGTGAAATACCACGCGCCTTCAACGCTCTCATAAATGCCAGATGGCAGATGTTGAGTGAGGACCAAGTGATAAAGCCCGCCAGACCGGCAATTTGCATCAGCCAGTTGAAAACGGTGCTTCCTGAATTGCTTAGATTCAAGAATCCCAATAGGCCGAAGAGGGCTGTGAAGCCGACACTTCCATATGGAACGCCATGCTTGGTTGTCTTGAGGAAAAAGCGAGGTGCGAACCCTTCGTTGGCTAGACCGACTAGGATACGGCTACCGCTGTAGACGTTTGAATTGGCTGCTGAGAGTACCACGGTCAGTAGGACCGCATTGATAATGCTCGGTAGGGCGTTGACGCCGGCGCGTTTTGCGGCGATGACGAAGGGAGATGAGTTTGCATCGGCGCTGTTGCCGTCGCTGGATGTAAGGTGTTGATCCGTGGCCGGGACGACAATGCCGGCGAAGAAAATGGTGAAAATGAAAAAGAATACAATTCGAAAGAAGGTTTTGCGAATTGCTGAGGGGACATTTTTGCTTGGGTTCTCTGTTTCTCCTGCGGCAATGCCGACAAGCTCCGTTCCTTGGTATGAAAATCCGGCTTTGATGAGAATGGCCCAGAAGCCGACGAATTTAGCTAGAGCATCTTGCTCTGGGTTCGTGATCAGGTAAGGTTGGAAGGGACCGGGATGCACCCAGTATCTAAACCCGATGTAGCCTTCCTTGCCAACTCCAGCATTCATGCAAATAGCGAAGATCATGAACCCGACAACTGTGATGATCTTAATGCTGGAGAGCCAGAATTCGACTTCTCCGTAGCAGCTCACTGGGAACATGTTCAATATGATTATAAGAACCCAAAAAATAGCAATGAAAATCGCCATCGGGATCTGTTCGTCCCAATATTGGATAATCAGACCGGTCGCGGTCAGTTCAAGGGCAAAAGTCGACGCCCAGGAAAACCAGTAGATCCAGCCCATGGCAAACCCCAGGCTGGGATCGACCAATCGAGTAGCATAAGCAGCAAATGCTCCTGGGATTGGTAGATACGTGGCTACTTCACCCAGAGCTGTCATGACGGAATACACAATTGACCCCACGAAGCTAAAGGCAATTAAGGCACCGACGGGCCCAGCTGTTGCAATTGCAGTACCACTGCCGATGAAGAGACCAGTTCCAATCGCACCACCTGCCTGAATGTCAGAATAGTATCAATGTTGGGGGGTTTCAATTCCTACCCATTGCGATCATCTGCAAATGGCGGCTCTTCAACCTGCGCTGCAGCTCGGGCAATTCGTGAGTCTCCCCATTGCTATGTTTCTCCTCAGAGTCAATATCCTGGTTGCCAGTCGGACCTGTGGGATCCGGTTCTTTGACGTCCTTCTTGTCTGTTCTCGGCTCATTTTGTACGCTGGTGACCTCGTCGGTCATTTCCGGATATTTAGGGAAGACGGGGAGATTTGATGAAAGAGTCGCTTAATGAAATCTGGGGTTGCAAGGCAAGCACAGGCGGGCCCTTTGGCTCATTTGACGAATTGTTGCATCGCGTTGGACTTCCCCAAATGGTTGGTCCTATTTCCCCAGGAGGATGATCGACCTGGGGACCCCGCGTTGCCGGGCCGGGACTTTCTCGGGATCCATCACGAAGTCCGAACAAACGAATGGGAATGGCCCAATTTGCGGGTCCATAAGAGCAATTGCTAAAGCACTCAGGCCGTATTACGTTTGGTCGTAACTTCGGGAACTCCTTTGCGCATCGGAGCGCCCCGAAGTCAAGAGAACAGCCAATTGCGTGGCTTATAACGTAACTTGCCGATATAGAGCGACGTTCACCCGGGCCGGTATGTAGTGGAACTCATACATCATCTTGATGCGGGGTAAGGAGATGAATATGCTCGTTCAATTGACTTGGAACGATCATGAGTAGAGTTGTTTGTCGTGTGAAGGGCGCAGCTAACGTGGTCGCGGGTTCTAGATCGTACGCGTACGGGAGATTGAGTTGGAATTGAGCTGAAATTGAAACCCAAGTATTCAGGCAAACGTCGCGAATGCATATTGCTTCGGTCGGGGTTGTATGTTGAGTCGCTGGACCAGATAGGGATCCGGCCCCGCGGAGCTGTAGTCCGATATTTGGCTGCGAGTGGGTGATATCGTTTTTGTCATGTTTTCGACTATGCAACCTAGGACCTATTTGACTGTCCGAAGTCTGCAACTTTGAGATTCTGCCGGGGTGATGAGGTTGAGATGCTGAGCGTGTCAGATCTCGTGTTGGTTTCCTGGCCTCAGGCCACATATCCCTTCGTGCGCATTCCTGACCACGTGTCGACCTCCGTTAGATCTTCCTACTGAAGCCGATGCTAAATGTTCCTTTCAAATTCATCGGCGTATCATCTTCAGTTACTCCGTATCGCCGCTCGTATCTTCTTTATCAGAGATCACCAGTTAACGCAGACCCACTGGATACCGCCGATGTGCGGCTTGTACGCTGATCATGGAATGAGAACATTCAGCAAGGACCCAACTGCCCAGGGAAATGTCGATCAGAACCTAACCTTGCCGGGGGATAACTGTATGTCGTCGACAAACAAGATGAGAAAGCCAAATGATCCGCAGAAGCCACAACCCGAAAGAGGAAACAGAAAGAAGATCTATTTTGTTTTTTACTAAGTTTTTGCTTTTGTTGCCTTTCTTTATTAGTAAGAACTCATGGCTCGATTTGCAGGTACATGCATTAGCGCTAATCAATCCGAGTAGGGTCCCTTTGCCGCCGATCTAACGGGTGAACTCTGTGGCTGAACCCAAGATTAAGCTTAGGTCTAAGTTTGATTTCTAAGGTCTGAGTTTCGTTTCAGCCTTGATAAAAGCTTATCATCAAATAGGCGTATTGTCAAGGCACGGAAGGCATGGGTACCAGGCTCCAACGACAACCCCGAAAAAGATACCCCCTTGCCCACGCAGGGCTATCCAGATCTGGGTAAGCCACCTTTGTCGCCAGAACAAACAAGTTTTCTTTTTGCTTGGGCATCTTTGGGCTAGGTAAGCTTGGAAACTACAATCGTACATGATTGCATATCTCGTATACCGTACCACTCTCTTCATTTATGGGAAAGGCATATAAATCCTGATTCGTAAAATAACTCAAGTTCACTTCATGACTATCACTGGAAAAGCGTATTTTCGAGGACCAGCACATAGCCGCAGTTTTCATATTTATAGTCGAGTGAATGATCTGATGATCGCTGGTAAAATCATGTTCTAAATTCCAACCTCAACCTCCATGCCAAGTCTCGAACCATGCCGCGTTAGAATATCTATACACAGAAGCTGAGCTCGCATCGCAGAAGGATCCTTGGTAGCCATTTCGCTCAGCCACAGGATGGCCTTTCTGATCATAACCTCAACACCGGCACTCTCCGGCGTGCCTTCCTCTGATCGGGCCACAAGTTCCATCATGAGAACAGTCACGGACTGCATGATATAATGAAGCACACACCACCATGGGGAGCATCCATACAGCCAGGCTGTATCTGGATCGCTTGGTAGGAGATCGAGCATTTGACCTGCTACCTGAACGCATGTCGCCGCCAAGGTACTGCAGAGAGTGCTTGGTGGCCCCTCTTCCGGCGCTCCGTACACGACGCGGTGCAGACATGGCTGTGTTATGATGAGCTTGGTGGAATAGAAATGGAACGCAAGACTTGTGTGCTGAAGGACATCAGGCCTGTTTGTTCGCGTTCTTGTCAAGTCATATGACATAGGAAGCCGAGAGAGCCAACGTTCAATGGACTCATTAAGCGCAGAGATCGCGAGTTCAATTTGAAGCCATGACCTTGAAGCGGCTATTGGGGAGTACAAAGTGCCAATTGCTTCCTCCATTATTGATGCCAGGTCAACGGCGTATATGAAGTACAGTGACGGATTCACTGAAACACTCTGTGCCGCAGTAGCCCGAGCCTGCTCATTGCGTATTTCCTCCCTAGACGCAACATGGATGGGACTTTGAGCTATGGGGCTTTCCACCGTCTCGTTCCTAGGCATTTGGAATTGCAAGGACGACATGAGAATGCGTCGAGCTTCATTATTTGTAAGGAGTTGCATGACGTGCTCCTCTCCAAAATCCTCCTCTCTATACGGCACCGGAAGAGGTGTCGTACAAAATGCCCTATGCACACCAAGTGGACGACCGATGATCCCAGAAACTCGGTTATTTAACAAGTAGAGACCCCACCACAGCCGATACCTGGCCTCTTTGGACAGAGTTGAGGTGCTGGGACTTTCATCGCGGAGATAGATCCCCATAGCCTGCGCTGAGCGTATCGCGATGCCACACATTCTCCATGCCCTGGCAAATCATAAGAAAATCAGTCTGTGCCCGGAGAGAAAATGTCCTAATCTAAGCAAGGAATGTGCATCCACCTGTTGACTTGTCCGATCGAAAGAAGGTAAAAAGAGGCTAGTGCTTCCACTTGCACCTGCTGTAGGTTTGGATGGCTTAAAGAGGCAACATCGTGCGTGTTAAGCTGCCACGCCCGTGAGAAGTATACTGCATGGTCATCATGGTCGTGATGGGTCTGGCACGATGCGAGGCAAGAATGTCTCGCGGCAATGGCGAATACCATGTTCAAAACTGCCATCCATCTTCTCCCTGGTCGTAGATTTGCATTCGAATAGAAAGCTCGGCACTGACTTAAGAAGAGACTCTTTCCAAGAAATGGAAAAGATTCATGTATAACACTGAAGTAGTTGTTGACAAGTTGATCTGCGATCCCTTGCGAAGGCCGTTCCATCATGGCCACGTTATCTGAGATCACAGGCCCCGAATCATCGGGAAAATAGTTCACAGATGACAGCGAGGCGATGTCTGCATCCTTCTGGGAACTGCCCAGTGTCGGATCGTTTTGCTCCAAAAAACGCTTGAGTTGGTGTAGCCACTTTATTTCCGAATGTCTGCCGATAAAACCGGTAGCCTGCGCCTCTGCATCGCGATTGAAATCTTCTTCGACAAACTCCACGGGGCCAATCGTGCAAGCCGGTGTATTGGCATTGTCTGATACTCGCGACGGAAGTGCTGATGCCAGAGACGTGCTTGGAATCTAGACATTGTCAGATGACAAGGTAATTTCAAGGGGTGAAATATTGACTTTATTCAGCGGATGAGGAGATGCGTCTGTTGCGCCAGGTTGATTGACAGACGTATCAGGGTGATGATCGGGAGGGAGATAGATATTTCGTAGGAGGGTTTCATACGTTTCGACCTGGGCTGTCAAATCATCAAGTTGTCTAAACACCCCTGTCAGATGCGAGTGTATTTGCATCTAATTTGAACCACGCACTTGACCATTTTCTCGCGCTTTCGATCACCATAGATACACGTAACAGCGGACATTTGGCATCGATGGCATGTTGGACGGTGGCCGCTGCATTTCACCTTTTGATCGCGGCAGTTTACACATGCCCTGGAGACCCGGCCGGGATTGGCTAATGGTTTTGTGTTTGCGGCTCGAGGGATGGCAATTTTCGGATTTGGCGTTTGCTTCGCGGTGTCGACGTGTGGATCGTAAAGGGGGTTTGAGATTTCGGAAGCTGTGGTGGATGATGGTTCGGATGAATCTTCCTGTAAGTTGCCCGATACACTCCAGTCGTAGCTGAAGAAGGCTACGTCGTCTACAAGATCAGACGCGGGATGCCGGAGAGACGATAGAGGAGGAGGAGGTAAGTTTCCACTCATGGTCACTTTCAGTTTGGCTGGCTGCCAACCTGTAGCGCCACGGAAGATGCACAGAACAAGAATTTGTAGTAGAAAATACACCTCTAGCAGTGGGGAAATCGCAATTCAAGTAGGACCTCTCTGGGTTCATATCAAAACCACGCTTGTACATGTGCAGTTAGTCTTCTAGGAATATGTAGGGTTGGACCTCCTAACAAACCCTCTGATTGGCTGGCACTCACATCCGTGCCCCCTTCGGGCCGTCAAAGGTCTTCCATGGATCGTCACTGAGCGCTGACTGCGACTTCAATTTTGATGTAAAAAGGAAAAAGGCACGTTCTCATATCATGAATTTGTTTTACCTGACTGTATGTTGCAAATTATGCAGAAGAACATTGACATTGAGCATTTCATACCTAGAAACGAACATCAAGAGGAAATACGATACGGATTGTGGTAGGAAACAACGTCCCCAAAGCAACCAATTTTATAGCAGAGATATGAAAGACTCTTCATATTATTCAGCCGTGTCGGGAGAATATTGCGACATGTTTGGCCGGCATATGCCTCAGGCATGATGTCCCCATTGTTTGCACCAGTGGACAAGTGATACCATGTTGACAGATAATGAAATCGATTATCCTTTCCCCTTTGGTATGAAACCTCTTACTAGTAACAACATTTTGCTTAGTATATGTAGGTAGTCACTATCACAGGTCTTATACCGTCCTAACATCTACGTGTACTTACTGTAGTGAGCATAAGCCTAATCCCCTTATGGAACTTGTATTCCCGCGATGTTGATAGAGCCCAGGCCTGACCAGCCATCTATCAATCCTAAAAGGAAAAGTCTCTCAGCATCAGGAAAGGCCCGTCATATGACTGCAAGGAGCCTTACACGTGAAAGACCCGACTAGGGGTTACTAACCATTCACCAGAGAGCAATAGAAGAAAGGATGGGTAAGAAACACTCGCTGTGCGGCAAGATTGATAATAGAAGGTGATGGGACCCGTAATATTCTGATACAACCACCCATCTTTGAGTGTGCAAGCCAGGTTGTCTACAGCAGTTTATCTCGCTCGGGCAAGGTCATAGGGAAAGGCCTAGTACGGCAGTGTATCAACTCACAACAAACTTAACGAAGAATTCCAACGAGTATTTGAACAAGCGTTTGAAATAGGCGTATTACTCGATTAATTATTGACTAAGATGCTTAATATATTAACACATTAAGGGCATTTCGAAAATAATATTTGCAATTTCATTCACATCTGTTCAAGATTACGTCGGCCTTCCGGGGGTTGAATGATTTATATACTCTGTCCTAGTCCAGAAACCACTATACCCTGTAGAACTTAATATAAATAAAAAATGGTAGCGCTCGATCCCCTCATATGTTCCCGCGATAATGTACATAATCAAAAGCAACAGAGAGCAAGTACAATCGCTGAAACAAAAAACAACAAAGTAACTGCCCCCTTCTTGACAGGGCGCCAGGAATCCCACAAAAAGCCCTCCTGAGCTGTATAATCAAATTTAATCTGTCACAGTATAGAATGTTTCCGGTCATGAAGGCCAGTGCGGACCCATGTTCATCGGTAAGTAAGGATGCAAAAAGGGAAAATAATGCCTCAAAATTCCAACAGCAAGACACACAGGAGTACCAAGTGGGAACTTTGCTCTGCCATTGGTATTGACCACGCTAACATTTTTCATATCATAGCATCCCTGGTCTTCATCCGCAGCCTCGATCATGGCAGCAGCCAAATCGAGGTAAGATACAGGACTCTCCTCATCGGACAGACTTAGAGCGTGGCCGCGCTGGACGTCAACCGACAAAGCCCCGGGTTTGACGAAGACAGAAGTCAGCCAGTCCTTCTGGGCACGAAGTAGTGTCTCCGCTTCTATCAAGTCCTCATAAACGTAAGAAGATGAGCGTGATAGGAGGAATTGTAGCACGGTATTTATGTTTCGGGAAAACGTCTCGTCGATGGTGGCCGATGAAAGGAGAATGATCTTGGGCATGCGTTTGGTACTGGCACCGCCACGGGCGGTGGCGTCCTGCATACCCCACAGGACCTGTATCACGGCATTGGCGGTATCTCGGGCGAGGGAACAGTTGGGAATGTTATCGTTAGTGGAGATAACTAGGAAGACAGCCCGTACGTCGCGAATACATGATGCTAAAAGCTCATGATCTTGGATGCAGCCTTCAAAAATTTCCACCCGCCCGTTTTCCTTTGTTTCGGGTAGAAGGTGGAAGAGCTTGTTGCGGTTGCGACAATATGCATGGATTCGAGATTCCGGCCTCTTCAGGAGATTCTCAATGAGGGCAGTGCCACAATTCCCTGTCGAGCCCAAGATGGCGTAGGTTTGGTGCGCGGACATGCTTGAGGGCCCCCTTGCGTGAATTTTTTTTCCTTTTTTTCTTTCTTTGACGTGTGGGGCAGTCAAGAAGCACTTGAGAAGGGAAAGCCTCTTGAATGCAAGAGGCTAGTCGAATAATGCATGTATCAATTGAAAAGTCGAAATAGCCAATGCGCGCTTCAAATCAGTCCTGATTTTGAATTTTATCGCCTGCTTTCTGGAGGTGTGTAATTGTGCGATGGCTCACGTCCACGAGATGAGGTTTTGATATGTATACTCCAAGGGCATTTTGGGCATCATTTGGTATTCTGACATGGAGGATTGCTTTTGTTCATATTGGAGCATAGTTCAGGGATCAAGGATAACGTTAAGAACAAGCGACCCGAGCGCAAAGATAGGGGTGGGGCGCTGGTGGCCTGAGAAAGAAGGTGTCGATCACCACTCAGCGTTTTTAGACCGCAATTAGCTTGGATTACACACAAATCTCGCAAAATCGTCTGAATATAGGCGAAGTATATGTCCGCCTCCTCTCTTTATTTGGGGAATCTGACCGTGTTCAATTAATCTTTCAATGCCCGTTTGCGCTTTACTTTATTGTTAGCCTTGGAGATGAACGCTGGCAGAGCTCTGCATAAGAAGCTCTCCTCTGACTGCTTCCCTTGAATCCATCTTGATTGAAAGATGGAATAGTGTGCTCATTGCTCCACTTGTAGCCCGGAAGAGGCGTGTCGGCCGCTACAGCAACTATGTATTCTCTTGGCAAACTCGTGAAGAGCCTATCCTTCAGCCGTTGAAGAAGAGCTAAGATGGGTCTTTTTGAAGGCAATCGCGACTGGGAAAAGATATTCTGGCCGACTGACCTTGCGAGGCTGTCAAGATGGTTATTCTCCCGCTTTCGGGTTCTCAGCAAGGCTCAACTACAAGGCACACGACTCAAGATCTTATTGACACAAGCCAAATTTCTGCTTATATTCTTACCTGCACCCATCTCGGCTGGGTGAAAATTCCAGTGTGAGCAAATTTGTAAAGTGTACCCATCCATTTGAGCATGTCTTGCATAGGAGCAAAAGGCATAGCTACTTTTACTATGCTATTCAGTATATTTGAATGAATGAAGCTGCCATTTGAGATCTCGAGGTGGGAAAATATTGAAGAAGGCTCTAATTAGGCATAGCTTTGCAGATTGTTGAGAGCCAAGGCGGTTACTGATCAGCGTTGGCCAGGGCGACAATGACAGCTTTCTCTATGCACAGGGCAGAAGATTCTGATTGATACTTGCTGGCACCGATATATCACATCTCTTGAGCATTATAAATGAGACCAAAAAGCTTCTCTATTGCCGAACTTTAAATGAGTCACAACAATCAGGTCTTCTAGGATAATCGTTCGACGTATAGCCGGTGCTATCAGCACATTCAGTGCACTGTGATTCCCCCGAACGCCAACCGGGATGAGTGGGGTTGTATTACTCTTGTGAGATTTGCTAACGTCTACCTAAGTAGCATGAGATCAATCTTACATGTACTGTCGTCATACTTGGTGGACATTTTATCTTTAATACAGTGTGATAGGAGCTCGAAAGCAGCTCGTGACACTTTTTCAGTGCCTAAAACACAATGCAGTTCAGCCTTTGCTTACAAGTAACATTTTCAATCCCTTGGATGATTACATGCAGCCTGGTCCTTGATCAATATGGGTCACTTTAGACAGAAATTTGATTGTGGAAGTGATATTTGTCTAAGAACCCTCAATTCCATCAACAATCTCTCCGTCTCTGATGTACTCCTCAATCCAACCTATAGTAATCCTGGTTTAGGTTAATCGTAGCTACTGAATACACTGTTGGATAAACTTACATGCTTCTTTTAGTATCGGCAAAGTTCTCATGATCACCCGCTAGGTGTTCCTTATACCAAGGATCCTGCTTCATACGTTTGTAGTCTTCGATGCTTCGAAAGACAACCTGGCTAAAGCAATCAAAGTCGGCAATGTTCGCCATCTGAGGGTCAAACAGCTGGCTCATCAAGGCCCGAGTGGAACTTTGGTTGTGGATCTGAATGCAAAAAATTATTAGATATGTGAATCTGAGGCCGAGCGCTCGAGAAATAAAATGGAACGAAGAAAATTCTCACCTGAGTCCATCTCTTGACACCGTACTTGACCATCAGTTCTTTTGTCATGGGCGCAGAAACATTGACCATGTGGTGGCGATAATCTTCTTCACTCATGCCGGGCTTGCGGTAGCCACATATTGTTAAACAGAGAAACTTGTTATCAGCAGGCCCTGATATCTCGGGGATCTCTGGATCGTTCACTATAGTCATGTTGGGGATTTGCGAATGACCAGCTTGGCAAAATGGAAATAGTTTCTTAAAATATGGAATGTAAACAGCGGACCTTTTCGTGTTAGGTTTACCGCCTCTAGTTTAACGATCTCCCTTCAATGCTCCCCTTGCGCCTTCTTGATTTCGGTCGCAAACTGCGGCTGACCCCTTGCCGCGTCCACCTTCCCCATGAGCTCTTGGGATCGGGATGATTTAGCCTGACTACACAAGTGGTGCCTTGAAGATTCACTTTTACTTATTGGGTAACTAAATCGACAGGCAAAAGTCCATGCCGACAGCCTGCTCAACCCGATTGGGATAAGTGTCTGTTGGCATTAGAGGGCACGATTTGTCAGAATTCAATACTATGAAGCAATCTATAACACTTTGCACAATGGCCTGACTACCTTGCTAGCCTTCTTCATCGTTCTCAGAGTCAGGATATTTGTGATGGAAAACGTTCTCTTTCACTTCAGGTTTGGCCCATTCAAGCTCCTGCCACGGGCCGATGTCAGAGAGTTCGCAGCCGCCCTCACATCGGCAGGTACCACCGAACTCGACGGGCAGGTTCTCAGGAATAATCTGGGCCAGCAATTCCTTTTGATAGTTACTGCCGAGGACGTAAATCTTGTTCACAGTGACGGGATCGAGGAAGCTCTTAACGACGCTGAACACACTGCTGAAGCCCCAAGGAGCATTGACGAGGTACAGTTTGCCCAGACGCTCGGGATAGTAATTCTGCAAGATTTCCGAAGTCTGACGCACGTAGCTGTACACAGAGGGGATACTGGTGACGCCGACGCCCTTTAGGTCCATAATCGTGCAGCATGTCTCTTGTAAGTTGCCTGCCTTCCGCGAGCATGCGGGAAACCGGGCGTCGACTAGCTTCTCGTATTCAGTGACAAGATTCTGTAACATGCGCTCGCCAGTAGTGATGTTATACATGGCATTAAGGTCAATCTTGCCTAGTTTCTCGATGTAGACGGGACGGCCATCCTAGTGATAGTTTATTGACTATTTTCCCATTGTAGATCTATAGAGTGGGAGGTCATAATCACTCACCCTATCAGTGTTGTGGTAATACTGCGGATAATACTTGAAGACTTCCGGCTTCTCTTGGTAGTTGAAAGTATGAGGGAGGTCATCTGTGCCAAAGTTCTTTCGCCATTCTTCACATTTGATAAACCTAAACAACCACATTAGATCACTGGATGTCTTATGTGGATCACAAGGACCAGGGCCCCATTTCAAATTGAACCTTCAACAGTCGCTTGAATTGGGAAACCTACATAGCCTTCGAAGCCTCGGCATCAAATTTGCGGGCGCGAAGGAAGCGTAGCAAGGTCAACGTATCCAATCGTTTTGTGTATCCCTCTTGCTCTAGCATTGTGCGCAGCTGATAAATTTTCACATCTTGTTCCAGCGTGGTGTGGCCCAGATGGCCAGTTTTAGGCTCCAGCGATGTGATAGGGAAGTCATACTGGTCGTATTTGAGGTCGAGAGGTAAAGACTTCTCAACAGTGGTTCGATCATGCATTCTGATGTGGGAAGTAAACTTGAGGGCTTACTAAACGACACCGATCTGGCCGCACTTGGAGTGAATGTGATAGGATGGAGACTTGGGTGGAATTGAAGCTGACTTCTATTTCTTAAGTAATGATTGCGGGGTAAGGTGAGAAGAAATTAACTGTAGCTGAGTTGGTAGGCTGTGCCATCAGGATCAGACTATTGGCCCAAAGCGAGGGGAAAAACACAAAAATAAAAAAACGAAACAGAAACAAAAACAAAGAAACGCCGCTTTCCTGATCCGGGTATTGACACTTTATGGAGGTGCCAATAGGCTGAGTCGGTATTCCACAACACGGGATGGCTAATCAATGTGGGTAAGAGGCCGCTCAAGTGCTCATTTCCGGGGGCTTCGGTCAACATCTGCCCAGGGCTCCGGGAGTATATTGGAGTCACGGTCACGTGATGGATATGGATCAGCCGTTGATGTGGATCAGCCGGTGTGGGGAATTTTTGGTGCGGCAGAATAATGGCAGGGAATAATGGTGACTGAGGGATAACAGACACTGTGCTGCCTATTTTGGTCTCGTGACACTTTCAACGAGATTAAGAGATACGCTAACCATATTTTGACAGCCCAGTTCTCCAGCTCATACTATGTCTGCGTGGTTCTTTACCATGACCGGATTCCACAAATTCTATAACTCAGATGAAGCCGGAGGTTGCATTCATCTATCAAATCAAGTTTGATGACGCTCCCAGGACCTATCCGCACAGTAGGAAAAAATGTCGAGGGAAGCAAGCAGACATTCACGTTGATAATACGTTCATTGTATCGAGTGTGCAGTGCCTCTGAGCTTCGATAGCGCTCTGCGTTCTTAGCGGCAAGAGGCAACCAATGTGTCCGCTGACCAGAGAGCCCATTTTCGGCTTGGCTCGGCCGAGTTCGGCTGAAGCCACAGGCACTAGGCATCAATGTACGAAGGTTGGATTAATTTCTGGCATCGGCCCAAGGGGGGTGCCAGACTATTAGGAAAACGCACGTGAGTTTCAGACGTGGTAGAGAAATGTTTCTGTTGGTGTACCAATGATTTTTAACCATTACCCATCTCTCTTGCCCAAAGCATTCGTTTAAACTAGAGTTGTATGCGAGCTCTGGCTTGAACACTCGATGAAATCCTGTATCAACGGCCACTGCTTTCTCAGTGCCGTTGAACTCGCAATTAAGGATTGGCGTTTTGACTTCGATCACTTCATGAAGGAGTGAAAAAAGTGTCAATCGAGTATCAATGGAGTTTACTAACGGACATCTCCCAACTAGTGAACTAATGACAAAATCATCCAAATCAATAAACAATATGTGTAGTCTCGGGCAATAGATGCCGATAGTAGTGAAAACTGCTGTTGAAAAATGGGGGTCCGTGAATTTGTGGGCTCTTCCCTTGGGAATATACTCTGTCCAATAGTATTTTTTCAATTAGGCTGAAGACTTGAATTACAGGTGATCATAAAAACCATTGCTAAAGTCTGATGACATGTAACCTAAAACTGAAGCCTACACATACAATGCTCGTAAGGCTCTCAACGATCTCAGTAAGCCCACATCACATATATTCTGTATTTTCATAGTATTCAAAATGGACAACGACCACGTTCCGACAATTTTGGTTGAAGACACTATCCATACGCTTTTGATAAAACAAGCAAGACATTCATATGCCTGCTACCGTCGGGAGTGCCCGGAAGGCATCCTCAATTGATATTTCGGCTTGAAGCCAATGGCAGAATGTGGTGGCTGTACGATATAATCAGATCACTTACTTATGGGATATGAGTATGGTTAAACTATGAAAAGCCTTCAAATCGAAAATTAATATTAATATACGGCGTGAAACCTCCAAGTAATCATAAATTATTGATCACATCATACGTAAAGCCGTCCCTGACACGGCTCATGAACCTCTTCTGAGGTAAAAGAACAATGATAGAACCCAGATTGCACAGCACCGGAGCCCGTCATCGTATCAGGATCTGTATTTGCCACCGGCACATTGTATCCTCGGCCATCCCTCCCACTCCGATTCGTCTCTTTATCCCTACTAATCCGGTTTGAGAACGTTAATGGCTTAGGAGACTCGAAGACCCCAGGAAGCCCACCCCATTGGACCGCTTTCAGGGCGTGGTTGGATTCGTCGTCCACACCTGGCGATGAGGGATGGCAGGCCGCGCTAATTGTCGCACTGCACTGCGCCGCCAGTGGCATTGCAAATCTAAAGCGCCGTAGCCCCAACAGTATTGACGCAAGAGGCAGTGAACCACCCACGATGATGGCGAAGATAATGGCAACGGGAGAGTAGCCGCAGGTAACAACCTCATTACCAGATTGCATTATACCGTTTATATCAAACGGAATGATTTCAACGAAGAACAGACTCTGTGAGACAAGCCAATGCAGGACAGCTGAAACAGCCAGGAGCGGAAGGCTATACCGGTATGGCAGGGACAGGTAATAGGTTGAACGCTGGGCACCGCGCGGCCAAGTAACACGCAATGGCTTGCGAGCACCGGCGTAGCTATTGTATTCAACAGCGCCAAGCATGCATGTCAACAAGGTATCAAGTAGAAAGTATGCGATGGAGACAAGCAGCTGCGGTGTGTTTGCTAGCAGGATCATGCTGAATACCCCCGTCATACCGGATGGGACGGGCATGCCGTCTATGAGCGTTGGTGCGCTCACTTCACCCAGACCGCCGTCCCAGATGGTTTTGACCCCGTAGCCCTTGTCATAGTTGAGGATTCCGATGCGGAGGAGGTTTGCAGCGGCAACAATAATGCATACAAACCTGCACAGACTGTGAGTTGGGTTCTTGATGCTGTAGAGGGGTGACTTACACTGTCATTGTGAAGGCCCATCGTCCTGGACTTACAGCATGTAACCAGCGTTGTCGAGGAGGTAGTTCTAGCGGGACTGCCTGATCTATTTGGATGTTTTCAATCTCATCCTGAGTGGACTCCTTTTTCTTCTCAGGTTTCTTGCGCCAACCCAGTGTCTTCTTATCAACGAGGGGCTTCGACAGTAAACAGCTTCCTTCTGTTGTTGGATCTGGCCAAGTAAGGTAAGATGCAATCGCATCTCCAATTGTTAGAAAGACGTCCTCTCTATCATCACGCGCGGTGAACAGGGTGCAAATGAGCTTTATCACATTACACCCAATAACAATCAAACAGATAGGAGGACTGAAGACTAGCTGACAGGTTTCCTCCGCCGGAACCGTCAAGCAGTAATCGACGGGATACATTGGTGATTGTCTCGCGTCACATGTCGATGTATGTCCCAGGACCCTCACATTGTTGGCAAAGGAGACATTTACCCAGTTTGAAGGATTTTTTAGTTCAGCCTGTACCGTATCTTCAGAGGGATAGGTGGCAAGGATCTCATTGAGCCGCCGGATGTCAGCCGTGTTGTAATCGTAGGCATTGGTAGCGACGTGGCTGTTAAAAGTCGAGTAGTTCTGGAACCCGGCTTCGGTCGGTATCTCAAGCTCTACGACGGGTGTAGCGAACTTGTATGGTTGGACGGACCAGTCTCCGGTGGTGTTCTCTTTTGCCATGTCTTTGCTGCAGTCATAATCATCATAACAGAGCCAGCTGAAGGGGCTTCCGCTCTTGGAACCGATTGTCGGGTAATTTCCTCGTCCCATAAATCCTAGAGGTTCACCGTCGGGCATCGAAGAATTGGTCACCAGAACCAGCAGACGTTGTCCGGATACATAGTCTTGCGCGAATGTATCGAGACACTTCTCGTTCGAGAGCATCTCAAGATCCGTCCGGCTCATTTCAGCATTGAGAGTCGCCAGGTCAAGCCCGACATTATCAGCAAAACACTTATCAAAATCGACGGACCTATTCGCCGTCACTGGCCCTACTGGTGCTGTAATAACTGTATACTCCCAAGGCCCAAGCGCGAAGAAGATAGCTGAGTTGTAGCTAACGACTTGTCAGCCAATCCTCAACACGTTGAGCACCGGAAGCGGCCTACATAAGATGGATAGGTAACGATGTCAACAAAAGAACCCACCCCAGCAACTGTCTCTTGCCCCGTTGTCTCCTTAATAAGTCCCAAATATTCGGGACTCCAATCCGCAGCCACACCCGCTTCCTATGCGCCTCATCGACCTGGGATCGGGATGGTGACGCAAGGCACTGCATGCAGTAGTTACTTGCACCTAACATAGCCGTGCTCAGAATGTTAATAATCAAGTGCAAACCAGTAGTCCAGTTCTTTGCTGTCGAACATTTCCCGGTGAACAGTGAGGCAAAAGGGAAGCCTGCCTGGTTACTTCCTGAGTACGCAATTCCGGCCGCGATAATGGTGAGCAGGACATTAAGGAATAGGACAGTGGCTTCGACCCAGGCACAGATTATAATGCCTTCGGTCCAGTGGCGGCTGTGGGATGGGCTCGAATTGTGCCCCTCTGCCAGGTCGGTGTTGGTCTCCGACGCGTCCCAAAGCCATGATATGAGGCTGACTGGGAGGAACTTAGGTTTCCCATCTGGTTCTGATTTACTGTTGGATTGTTGGCTGGACCTGAACATGTCTGCGTTGAGCCACAGAGGGATAACAACCGTCGCTAGAATTCGGGAGGCAACCGATGGTTGCGGAGATATGGGAAAAGTGATGATCCTTGTATTCAGGGACTACGCGCGTGGCATCTTGGCGACAGGAATCATCTTCCTAATTCGGGGTTAACAGGGCTGTGCTGTGCTGATCAACGCCAATCACAGCGATTGTTTTGTTCGTTTCCACCAGCCAAGACGTTTCCTCGTAAGCGACGTCACTGGAACGGGGGCTGAGGCTCTCTGATAGTCCACTAAAGCTTTACTTATTTTTAACACAGTGCCGATTAATCCTCTGGAAGTGCTGTCCTCACCTTGTATATGTGAACTTCTCACAACCACCCAGCTAGCGATTCTTGCTATCTAGAAACAGTTCTGCAACTGTGGTCAGGGGTGTGCGACCGCCCTGTAGGACTAGGGACCTATTCTGCAAATTGATGAGTATTTGAGTTGACCGTGGATTTGTTTTTCACCAAATCATCGCCATGTTTATTTTCCTGAAACTCCAAATATTACGGTACCCTTCGTTGCCAGTGTCAGTATGGAGCCAATGAGAATCAGTCAGCGAACAAGTGATCTGACTATAGCCTTTCGGCCGGCGGGATACTGTAAGAGAAGTCTCTTGTCCGTCTTCCCAAAGCAATTCACACTACAGAATAGTGCGGTGTCCATACGCTTAAGGAGTCGAGCACGACTGGGGAGCCTGGATGGCAGGGCTGAGGAAACTATTTCCCGACTGGGTTTGTCCACCATCCACTGCCTTTCTTATGCAACGGCGAAAAAATCCGCTGGGAGAAGGGGAGTATTAGGAAATGCACGGTCTTCTGGCTAGATGTTAGTTGACCAAAGCCTCATCTATTGGAGGGTGCGCTGGTCTCCAATAACCCCAAACAAATTCGTGTACTAAATGTCTACTTTGTACATTTTTGCACGCTTCTTGTGCAATGTTCCCACCCCGATCACCGGAAATCCATCTTGCAGGGGATTGAAGGTAAAAAAATCACTAAAATTGGAACCCATTAATATTAAGATCGTGCTATAGCTCTCGTAAATTTAACATAACGTAATTTTGTAGCAGCATGTATAATAGACTGGTTTAAATTAAGAGAACATATTATTAAAGTGTGACTCCTGTTAAATCTGACCATAATCTGACTAAACTAATTTTATAGCAGACACATATTTATAATCCTTCACCTATTTTCGTAGATATGCACAATGGGGTTGTGAATAGGTTGTAAACAAGAGTAAATAGCTCACAAATGAAGGGCTCATAATTGATTCTCTAGTCCAAATCCAGTCATGCAACGCTTCCCTCAAAAACTGGCGCCACAGGCATCCCCGACTGACCAAACCACAACAACTTGCTTATATCCTTCTGACAGAGAGGACTCTTGCAGAATATGATGCGTGAATTCTTTTCCCGCAACCCCTGCTGGGCAGGAAAGCTAGCATCTTATTTCTGGTGTAGGGTTAAATCAATATAGATTGGTTAGCAGCGTGCGCATAATTTAGTTTTTCATCAGTTCACCCGCTCAAAAAACGCCAATAATCACTTTAACGGAACTACTAAGCAGAGTAGTAATCTTGTCTATCAGGCAGGCAACTACTTGTCGGTTAGGTAAAGAATAGAGGGCGAAACATTGGCGCAACGAGGAAATGTCCAAGCCGGACCTATTACCACAATTTGACTGACTGATGAAGTTATGTTACGTATACAGCTCAATAACTCCGACTTGGCGGGGGCTGAGTACGCTCCCTACTGCACTGAGTGAGTGCTCAAGGGATAAGCGCAAGACCTCCAGTTAACCATCAAACCGAAGACGAGTCTGCAGCATAGCCAGAAACCAGGGCCGATATATCCATTTGAACACCTGCGTATCAAATTGGAAGCTCTAAACATCGATACACATCGACTGCACTCCCTTCCTAGTGAATGCCCCCAACACGCTCTCAACGAGTAGTCCCTAAAGAAGCATAAAAGCTAAACGGTGGCCAATGGTCGACGCAGTAGAGGAATGATGGTGTTGTCGGACGAGGCAGTAGATACGAGAACGAGGTAAGCCAAGTCTGGAGAGTTTTTCTTCCTTATCTAGATCTTCTCAGGGCAAAACGTGACGCTGAGGGAGCAAAAACCGGGAGAGGCGTGCTAGTACGTTGTAAGAATATATTAGGTGTATGGCCTGTTAACCAGGCAAGATATAATGGCCTAATAGGTAGAGGATGGAACACAGTATATTGTCCTTAGAGCTAAGACTAATTCTTGCCAGAATTACATATGGCTCCGGGGTCTCTAGACTATAGAGGAATGGAACAGAGACCTTCTGCTAACGTTCTTGCATCGGTTGCATCACGTAGCTTTTTAGCCGGTGTAAGTCGCAAACCGTAACAATTGATCTTGAAGATAAGAAGATCGAGTTCGGAGATGTAAGGCAAGGCGTTTTGTCGAGCAACCGATATTGGCACCGCGGCGCATGGAATGTAGGGAGACTCTAAGCCATGAGTATACTAGCAACGAAAAACGGTTACCGCGCATACCTGCCAATCAGGGGTAATATCGATTTGAATAATTTTGTGTCTTTCACTATACGTTCAATACAGCAATACATAATGTGCTTCATGCCCCCAGGATAGAACCCAGAATTTCGACCGCTGTCTCGTTCTCGGCTTTATTCATAGCTTTTGCCGTCATCCCAGATAGCAGCACTAGCTCCAGAAAGCGACTATCATGGGAAACAGATACCTCCAGCTTCTTTTCTCCTGATGTTCCGCTCGGCTGAATCGTCGCCATCTTTCTACCAGAGGCATCGTGCAACTCTAGGTTCTTCCCGCTTAACATATTAGCCTTCCACTTCAACCGACCCGTAGAAGAGGTCTGAAAGCTAAAATGGCCTGAAACTTGGCTGAGGCGCATGTCTATTGGCTGTCCATGTAGCGTAATGCGTGATTTTGAAGATAGACTTGGAAGCCGAGCGTCGCCAACCATGTCCCAGGGGCCGGCACCCCAGCCACGAAGTACAACCACATTGGGAGCTTGTTCCTTACAAGTCACAACTGAGTACAGGGGTGGAGCTTCAATTGGATATCCTGCAGGATGGACTAGGACCTTTGTGGGATCCCATGGTGCTGGTCGGAGAGACAATGAGACGACTTGTGGGTTTGCAGTCTGGCTGCGAGTGGAAAAGAAGGAATAATATGCACTCATCATTCAAGTCGAGGGTGTGGCAGTTTTGAGAGAATGAAGGTAGAGAAAAAAAGCAAATTTGTGGTTTGGTTTGGTTGAATGCTGTCCCCGGTTGCTTCTCCGATCAGCCCTTATATATTTCCGCTATGCTCAGATTCAAGCAGATCACCTTCACTTGCTGAGTTTCTTTAGGAATATGCGCTGGGCCGGGCTATACATGGTTATGCGATCTGATCACATTCGAGTTGGCGTGATCGTCACTGCGACACCCCCAATTGGGCATTATGATGCGCCAGAGTCTTGGCGGGTCTTCCCCTAAGCTTTTGATGTCTTTGATTGGCATCGCAGGTATCTTGGCCTACAATGTGGCTGTGTGGATGTCATCACAACACATCTTAATCGCCCCATGTGTCCTTTTCGAGCTGAACACCACCCGGATATATGAACTTCTTTTTTTTATGGTCGGCACTAGTATTGTATGCACAACTTGGATATTTGCCATGCCCGGGGTTCCATCTAGTCGTGGCTGTGACGCATGCCGCAAAGCAAAGAAGAAGGTTCAGTCCTCAAAACCAGTCTGGTCGCCTTACATTGACGCATAGAATAGTGTGACCAGCTCAAGCCAGTATGCTCCCGTTGCACACGTTTGAATATGACGTGTGTTGGGAGCGGACAACAGCGGTATAAGTTCATGAGCAATAAGCTAGATGGCCGGCGAACGCAAGGCCAATCTGCCCTTCAGCCAACACTCTCAACTAGCAGAGTAGTCTTCGTTGGCAGACCAGCACAATTACCAAGTACCGACACGGATCAGATTGCAGCAAACTTTGTAGAGGCGTTGCAGGTGACCGATATCCGGTATGCCATTGTCTACTACGGACTTTTCTTTCGGGATATTCCCCGTCGCCTGGGCAAAAGCGCTGTACTAGACGCGGCTGTGAAAGCCATTTCAGCCGCATCCCCGTTTCTTTACACCGGTACTAATTCACCAACTGCGCTCGCGCGCTATGGACAATCTCTACGGGCGCTCAGAGAGTGTTTGAACGATGCAGCTGAGGCCCGGACTCCGAATACGTTATGTGCCGTCTACTTGATCACCATCTGCCAGGTAAGCATTCTTTACTGTTTCTATCAACAACTTCAATAACGCAAGAGCTGATCACCACGAACTTTGAAGAGCTGGCTGGGGAGATATGATGACTCGCTTACAGGTCACGCCGAAGCCATTTCTCATCTTCTCAAAGCTGCTCCATTGCATGAATGGAACAGCAGATTTGAGCTTGAGATGGTTCTCACGATGTGTATACCTGTGGTATGTTTTATTCAGGAAACACACCTATGACGCGAGCAAGCAGCTAAGACCTGTCTGATCAAACAGATTCTCGAAGGCATTGTTAACCCCCGTGTTAAGATGGACCCAGCATTTTGGGAGCTGGCCTCATCATTCAAAGATCGGATGTCCACATCGCAGGAGAACCGCCCCAAGCCCTCGACGGAGTATAAACATCTCGCTCTATTCCCTAGTTTCGTTCAGAACCCTGATGCAAACCTTCCTGAAATTGAGAATGCATACTTCAGATTGAAAACTGATGCCCAAGTCATGCGACAACACCTCGGTCAAGTCGAGCAACTCACCCCTCCATCCTTCTCATCCCCAGCCGTTGTGGCTCACTCCCAAGCCCAAGCAGCGTATACCATGGTATCAACCCTGGCCGTGCTCACAAACAGTCTCCTCCGCATCTTTGATTCATTCAATTTCACTCTAGTCAGTGAGTGTATCGTTCTGTGTGATGAAATTGCGACCCAGGCCGAGCTGGCAACCTGCTACCGGCCGTTGGGATCAGCCTATATGCCGTTGTGTCTTACGGTCGCTTGGGCTGCATTGAAAGATGAGTCTCGATTGACACAAATAGAGGCCATTATCGCGGAATACCAATCTGACTTTACACAAGTCCCTTGGATGAGTCGGGCCCATTGGTTAGCTTCCACTTTTGATAGCCACCGCGTGCGGGTCGCATCTGAGATGGCCTCTTTACACTCCTCGGGTGTTGTCAATGCACAGACAAACATGGCAGCTAGTCGAGAGCGCAAGCAGCTCCCAGTCAATCCCGAATCATGCTGTATTCTTTAGCCATTCAATGATATGTGCCTTTGGGTCTTCAAGATATGTAGACATGGTGTCCACTCTTTGCTTATATTGTCGTCTATATGGAGAGTCTGAGAATTTGGTGAAATTTAGATCATAGACGATCGACCATGAAAGGATACTAGATACAGAGGAGCCCATATCTTCAAATCTTTTGGAACCGTTCGAGACTTATACTGATTATCGAGGTCCACTGCGGTACATCTGCATACTTCTTCAATCATATACATGAGCAGTTTAAGACGATTAAGTACATGGTACAATTATCATAACAGAAACTAAAACCAGCCCCGAAACAAAGATTTGGAGCTATAAGAAAGTATTTGCCCCCTGGGTATCCCACTGTAGTTTTTCACACTTCGCGACACTCACCCACCATGATGAAACGCTATGGGGACAAACACAGCCGACCTCCCACCATTTGGGTTGATGAGTCGATTTTTCGCTAGAACCAACTCGGTTCAAAATCAACTGCCACGGCGGATATGAACCCCTTGCCGAGTCAGACAATGAATACGACAGCAATCGCCTTCGGGCCAAAGAAGCCGCGGCCGAATCGCCCGGATATAAGGATTCCATACCTTAGTTAGCACCTATGGGATACTTTCGAACCCGAAGCCTCGAGAAGTGCCGCATCATTGGAGCCCTGAAACTTACGAGAGAGCACAGTTCCATCTTAGCAATATGTCACATTTAAACCCTTTACATTGACCAAGTGATACGACTAAGAGTCCGACAGGTTTCGCATGTGAAAATCTCGTAAATTCGCATCCTGAACCTCTGCACGCTACTGCATGCAAACCCCACAACAGGTACGACTGCGACAAATACTTTGTTATTCAAGTTGTTGGATTTAAACCAACGTTCCTCGGACGGGCAAAGATTAGAGACCGATCTTACAATCCAGCAAGCATTGACCAACTTATCAGGCATACTGGACACATAAGATCCTGGGGCAAACAATCCGTCCCCCTTTTGCCCAGAGGTCTAGCCGCCGTACGAAACTGAGTGCCACGAGACTCCTTGATTTAGAGTGCTCAAAATATTGGTACTGAACATCGGCAGTTGTTCTAACCTCCAGATCCCAACTCCATTGCTGGACTGTTAGATCCCAGAACTAAAACCACCCTTTTTTAGTGATTCCGTTGGTCCCGGAGTTACCTATGAAGGCGGAAAAAAGCGGGTCTTAGAGTCTTGAGACTGGGGAGCGCACCCGGGTTAGTCATGTTGGTTTCTTTGTATGTGCGAGATAGTAGATATATCACATATCATGAATCACCATGACGCGAGTTATGATGCCTATATTTCTTTGTTTGAAGCACGGTATGGTCCCACTAGGCTCTCGTAGATTAGTTTCCGCTAGCTGCTACTACCTTTCTTTGTTTGCTTGATATATGAATTGGATTCCGGTAGTCCTACCCACGAATTGAAATGTGTATATATTGTGATAGTGCACAATCAAGTGAAACCAAGGGGTTTATAGTGCTAGAAGAGTAGGCCGACCGGCGAAGCATAAATAGCCTATAAGTATTTCCTTCCTAATATCTGACTCTAAATAATAAGATTTTCTATAATATCCTAAACCTCTTAGACTTATTAAAATTTCGAGAAACTAGAATCTTGCTACTACGCCTATTATACCTTATAAATCTAGTGCTATGTCGAACTCGACTTCTATAGGAGCACTAGCATAGAGTTCTAAGGTCCGCCACTAGGTAGGTTAGTATATCACTAGCTTATAACGTATAACGCGGAAGGCTTTAAAGCTAATCTAGGTTACGATAGCAATTTTCCGACAGGCTGCCCTGCCTTGTAGCAGTTTCTACATAGACTGCCCTCCTATGTAGCAATGCCTATATAGACTGCCCTGCTATGTAGCATACAACCCACCTTGTGATACTTCAACAAAACCATATATAAGATGCAGTTTGAAGTCAGGTATACTGCATGCAACTTTGAATAAATTTATTAGCTATCCCCCTAAAATGATCGGCAATCCATTTATAAGTAGCCTTCTGAACGAATACATCTCCCCTACCACTAATATAACATTGCCTTCCATTTGCCTCTTCCTCAATACCAAGATTTAGCACCCCTATAAGATTATAAGTAGTGCTTCGTTATAGGTATTTGGAACCTAGTCACAGCCATTACCGGGGTCCGCTCTGAAAGTAATAAATTAGCCCCAACCGTCTCTTGTGTTTCCGATAAGCTCACCTTGGACGCCAGCCATCTGAATCATCATCTTGACCACCCCTCTCACAGCTGTCAACGATATCCTTGAGCAACTTCTTACACGTGTCTATCTCAAGGACCGCATCCCCAGACTTTCCATTTTTCATCCGTAACATGACATTCGGTGCGTACCCAATATCGACCTCAAGACACTGTTTGACCTGTTGTCCACCTTTAAACGTGGAAGGGGCAATATCATTACACCAGATATCGATTGCGTGAGCAGCTTCACTTCTGTTATAGTCGTCTCCTGAAGCGCTACTCCACACAGCGGAACCGCTAGTATAGCACGAAACCTTGCCAAAGACAGGGTTAGGCAGTGCAAGCACAGCGGCGAGAACGGGGAGAGCTTGAAAGTGCATATTGGTAGAGACTCGATCGAAAAGTGGTTCGATGAAATAAAAAAAGACTTCGATTGGTTTTGAAGGAGATTGAGTATGGATTGAGAAAGGAGGACAGTCGAGGAGTCTTTATACCTTTCCTTTGAGAAGCCAAGCAACTCTTTCTAAGTCACAGCCTAGCAGCCAAGCCTGAGAGCCAGAGTCTCGTTGTGCCGCGATAGACCTAAGAAGACTATAAGTCCTGATCTTCTGATGATCTTACTAGTTATAGAGATATACAATGGGCGCCTTATTTTGGGCGCCGTGTCTCCCTCCGCATCGGAAAATGCGTATATTCAACCACTAATAGGCTTGGCATAGTCCGGGAAACAGTTTCTATAGCCACCAATCTGGAATGATTGTCTGTATGAATCAAACCCATGCTCTTTCTGCATCGAAATAAATATTTATAGTAGCAACAAGTTGGGGGGCCTTACATCAACCAGGCCACCTTGGCGCCTAGCTGATTGCCAAGGCTGGAAATACTCGGACTACATGGAATCCGTAGTGTTGAGTTCAGGCGGCCTATTTCCAGGCGGGAATGTCATTATGGGTCTCGATAACCCCTCCTTATTGCACGTATTTGGTGAGGGTCTTCAGGTGGTTCGATCGTAATTTATAGTGTTTTTTTCCTGTCCGGGTCCTGCTAGTAATATTGTTCTTCGTGACGGCATGGAGGTCCGGGACATTGCATGATTGATTATATACACGCCCCGCTAAACTGGGAAGCCTGCTCGGCGTCAATATTAGCGTCTCGTTCACTAAATATGCTGTTCTCAACAATAGCGGAACTAAAAATGTGTCGCAGTACTTATGCTCGCCCTGAAATGCTGTAATAATGGGCTAATCAAGTCTTTGCACATGGCGGCAACAATTTTCGTCCTACAGGCCTCAGCAATTACTTTACCTATTCGAATATTAATGCACAGAAAGTGTAGGGACTAATCATTACTACGTGGCTGTAAAACTGCTACAGCAGAGGGGACTACGTAATAGCCAATCAAAAAGGAAAGACCGATTTTGGTATTACTTGTTTGAAATTCACCATAATGGCACCGCGTCATCAGGCTCAGGCGTCTTGAGATCTGAGGCTCACGGTTGTGCGGGCCTTGGAGTCGTAGGGGACGCTAGCGGGCGGTCTAATGGCCTGGCAGGTCTTGAGACCGCGCGGTCTTGGAATCTGCTGGGTCTCTGGCTCCGTGCCCACCGCCCTCGGGTGAGTTATACTGAGCCATAGTATAGTACGTAGTCTCCATATGACCGATCTGAAGTTCGGCCCACAAGACCCGTGTCTTGATCCAATAAGCACTGTAGCAACATGCTTCTTGGCCTACTAGGCTAGTAATCCTGGGAAGCCGGGCGGGTAGCTACCTGCATAGGTTGAAATACAGTATTTTTCATTCTTTCCTGCGAGGGATATCCAAGGGGCGCATCCCGCCCTAGCGTCGTGTCCGGCTATAGTTCTGCGTCCCGGTATCTCGGAATTTAAGTGGCGTTTATCGTGGTCGATCTACATGCAGGTTCAGAATCCGCCGTCGGGGTAAAAAGTGCGGATTACGACAATTGACCCGAGGCCCGTCCTCGGAGCACCTGGGAATTTTTGGCTTCTCGGACACATTCCGATAATTGTAGGGGATACTCATCCCGAACTAACCCTCAATCGTGGTATACACCCAAAGTGGAAAGTCAAACCATAGCTATAGTATATCAGGCCCACCAACGCCGTGAAATAGTAATAAATAAACTACAATACAAAGGCAAAGGCAATCAGACCTAACCCTTAGTTAAATAAATATCTATAGTTTCAACGGTTCAAGTGACAGCAAACCACCTTTTTACGCCTCCTCTCATATCAAATCCAACTATGCCTTCTTCAGCGAGCTTTCTAAGGATCTCGTCCATGAACGGATCCAACACCTTCTCCATAAGTTGATCGCTAATTTTATCTCCATGCACCGCCATGACCACCTCCTTGGTTGAGAGCCTTCTACCCCGCGGGCCACTTTCAATTTGATGTAGAGCCCGCAGCACTTGGCGCTCACGTCGCAACTTCCCTCCCAGCTCTCCCGCAATCTTGGAATTGAGGCTTGCTATTACATCTCCATGGGCCGGGTAGCCCTTGACGCATTCATATGACTTCATTGTGCGTAATGTTTCCATCCAGGTGCCGAGGTGTTCAACTGCTGTGGTGCCCTGACCAAGCACGTTGTCCCCAGTAAACATGGCATTCTCCTCTTCTAAAACGAAGCACATGTGGTCATTGGAGTGTCCTGGTGTGTAAATGGCTCGCAATGTAGCGCCCTCAACGGTGAATATTTGGCCGTCGAAGATGGGCTGCTGAGTTTTGCTCGGGGTATGTTTGAAAATAAACCGAGAGAGATCTGGGCACAATCGAATGAGATCGTGAACACCACCGGTATGATCTCCGTGCCAATGTGTTAGAAGGACTTCTGATAGTGAAAATTTTCCGATGGCCAGTGTTTCTGCAACCAACCCTGCCCAGGCTGGGATGCCCTGGCCCGTGTCGATGATGAGACGCTTGGCTCCAGTACCGACAATATAGGTGTTCGTTCCTTGAAGAGTAAACTGAATAGCGTGGCACAGTTTTAGTATTCATTGATATTTTGTAAACAAACTTGGAAATGTCGAGTTCACGACAATTCGGGCTCACCTTTCCAGGGTTCTGTCCAAGGATACGGATTACTCGTGGACTGATCTGCTCCACATCTAACAGTTTTGGCATGCATTTTTGCTGGGCTTTCAAATAATCTTCAAAGGCGCAGGTATTCAAGGCTTTATTGATTTGACGATAGCCTCCCTCGCCCGACACCATGTTGAGCCGAGATTCGAGGTCTTGTCTTGGTGTGAGAAGATAAATTCTTATTTCAAATTGAAAGACAGGACTTGACACTAGTAGAGCTGAAAGCCCGCAGCTTGTGTAAGGGGCAAATAAGCATGGCCAGCAAGGGGGTGGCAAGACAAACACGCCTTTTATCTCCAGAATGGAAGTCGAGGTGTTAGAGAGGGCATAATTTCCCGACATAAAAGCCCGAAGTCCGGGGTAATTAGTACAAATTACAAGTTCAAGGTGAACGTCGTATTCACATTAGAATGATATTCGATCCTAGGTCAAATATCCGTCCCTCGGTTGCAATTTAACTATATCCGACTGAGGATAACTCAAAATTGATCACAAGCGTTGATGACCCCTTGCTTGACTGATCCCGCTGTCTTTCCATTTCTGGAGTCGTGCGTCCATGTGTCATGGGGACGTTTTGTTTATAAATCTCATCTGGCATCAGTCAGTAACCTATTTTTCAGAGAGAGATACGGTCATATAATGGGATGTATAGGAACTAGCTCTATGAATCAGTTTTCAAGCATGATGCCATCCTCCATCGCCGAGTCCTCGGATGAAACTATTAGCATTTCAGTCTGCTATTTTGGTAATGAGTTTCCCCAAGGTGACATGAATGATGTGTTCCGACGGCTTCACAACCACAGCAAAAACAGACAACATCTGTTGTTAGCCAACTTTATTGAAGCCGCCACTTTGGTTATCCGGGAGGAAGTTCGGTCACTGCCGGCCAATTTTAGGGCTTTGTTTCCGCCATTTGAGACAGTATTTAGCCTTGCAAACAATGCCGACCTACGCAGTGGCCCTCTCGGTGACTGTGTGAATGGGATGCTCGTTTGTGCAGTTCAACTTGCAACCTTCATCGGGTAGGATAAAGCCAATATAACCGTCAGACAAGACTCCCGCTGACCACCTACATCCCAGATACTGTGAACGCAGCAGTAAGAACCTACTTAACACTCAGAGCGCGGACCTGTGTGTAGCTGGTCTGGGGACTGGCCTTCTGTCGGCTGCCGCTGTTTCGCTCTCCCATACATTGTCAGATTTGCTTATTGCTGGGTCTGAGGCTGTCCGTACAGCGTTTAGACTTGGCTTAGTGGTCAATGAGGTTTCACAAAACCTGCAGGCTTCCAAAGACGCTCAAATTGATAATAGCTGGGCATATGTTGTTCCAGGAGTTGCCCATGAAGAAGTTCAAAATGAGCTTGATGCCATACAAGAAGCTGAGGTTAGTCGCATATTTATATTTGGTCAAGGTTGCTCTTCGGTACTGGTTTTGACGTCTACCCATAGGAATTCCCCATCCTGAATAAGGTGTTTATCAGTGCTTGGAATCGAGGGTCAGTGACCGTCAGCGGACCACCAGCGCGACTGAAGCACATTTTCCTCGCATCTGACTTCTTGCGGGACCGCAAGTTCATTACTCTGCCAGTCTACGGAGGTTTATGTCACGCAAGACATGTTTACACGAAGGAGCATGTCAATCGCATCCTCAAATCCAAGTCAAGCAAACAGCTTGATACCAGGCTCATGCCGCGTGCTCCCTTGTTTTCGACCAGCACCGGCCAGCCATTTCTAGCAACAAGCGCCAGTGGGCTTCTCCGTAACACGGTAGAGGAATTACTGACCCAAACGATTCATTGGGACAAGGTTGTCCAGGCAATCGTACAGCGGGCAAACGATACCAGAGTGTCGGAGTGTGTGGTGCTTACGCTACGGTCATCTTTACCCGCTCACGACCTGGTCGAGGCGCTGAGTTTGGAGTCGAATGGATTCCAAACATCAACGCAAGACACTCTGGAATGGGTCTCCCAGCCTGGAAGATTTTCAGAATGCACCAGAGGTACCCAACAAGCGAAAATTGCTATTGTGGGCATGTCGTGTCGTATGCCCGGAGGTGCGAACACCACCGACAAGTTATGGGATGTTTTGAACGAGGGTCTCGACGTGCATGGAAAGGTCCCGGCTGATCGATTTGATGTTGGATCACACTGTGACCCCACTGGCAAGCGTGCGAACACTAGCCATACACCGTACGGCTGCTTCATTGACGAGCCTGGCCAATTCGATGCGCCTTTCTTCAACATGTCACCGCGCGAGGCTATGCAAACAGACCCTATGCAGAGACTAGCACTTGTCACAGCCTATGAAGCTCTGGAACGAGCTGGCTATGTTGCGAACCGCACAGCATCAACCGACCTACATCGTATTGGCACTTTCTATGGCCAGGCAAGTGACGATTACCGCGAAGTCAATACAAGCCAGGATATAGGGACATATTTTATTACTGGGGGATGTCGTGCCTTTGGCCCAGGTCGTATCAATTACTTTTTCAAATTCTCGGGACCGAGCTACAGCATCGATACAGCATGCTCGTCAGGACTGGCCGCAATAAATGTGAGTTGATTCGCCTTTGTTTGAGATAAATAAAACGTTCAGAAGAATTAATCAGAGCCGAAAAAATACAGGTGGCCTGCAACTCCCTTTGGAACGGAGACACAGATATGGCAGTGGCAGGGGGAATGAATGTGCTGACCAACTCGGACGCGTTCGCTGGACTGAGCAATGGCCACTTCCTATCAAGGACACCAAATGCATGCAAGACATGGGATTGCGAAGCGGATGGTTATTGCCGAGCTGACGGTGTTGCATCGCTTATCATGAAAAGGCTGGAAGATGCCCAAGCCGACAACGATAACATTCTGGGTGTCATCCTCGCAGCTGGAACAAACCACTCGGCGGAGGCAATTTCCATCACACATCCTCATGCAGGTCATCAAGCATACCTCACGCGACAGATCCTCTCCCAAGCTGGGGTGGATCCTTTGGATGTCAGTTACGTGGAAATGCACGGAACTGGTACGCAGGCGGGCGATGGTCAAGAGATTAAGTCTGTCACTGATGTCTTCGCCCCATTAACAAATGCCAAGCGCCGCAGTCTAAAGCAGCCACTATATATAGGTGCGGTGAAGGCAAATGTTGGTCATGGTGAAGCTGTTGCGGGTACAACAGCGCTGCTCAAGCTGTTGCTCATGTTCGACAGAGAGATCATTCCACCACATATCGGTATCAAGAACGCAATCAACCCGGCGTTTTCCAAGGATCTTGATAAAAGGAATATCCAAATACCGTACCAGAGAATATCTTGGCGAAGGACCTCAGATAGGAAACGTGTTGCTGTTGTGAATAACTTCAGTGCTGCCGGAGGAAACACGAGCATTGTCATTGAAGAGCCACCCGTGCAAACCAGAGTCTGCAATGAGGATCCTCGCACCAGCCACATTATAGCAGTTTCGGCTAAGAGCAAGCTTTCGTTGAAAGGCAACCTGCAGCGCCTCATCGCCTACCTAGAAGCAAACCCGAATGTCTCGCTGTCGAACTTAGCGTACACAACTACCGCTCGGCGTCATCATCATAACCACCGTGTGGCCGTGCCCACATCAGATGTGAAGCATTTAATCAGGCAGTTGAATTGTTCTCTTCAATCAGTGGAATCCCATGAAGCAATCCCCTCAACTGGACCGACGCCAGTGATATTTGCCTTCACAGGACAGGGGGCATCTCATCGGTCTAGTAACTTCGAACTTTTCCGAGATTCTCCGTATTTCCAATTACAAATTCGGCACTTTGACACGCTGTGCCAGGTTCAGGGATTCCCATCCATCATTCCTGTCATTAATGGAAGCTATCCTGAGGACCACGCGCACTCACCTACAGCCACACAGCTTGCACTTGTATGTGTTGAGATGGCATTGACCAAATACTGGGAGTCACTAGGTATCAGACCGGATGTTGTGGTTGGTCACAGCCTGGGCGAGTATGCGGCTTTGCACGCAGCGGGCGTGCTGTCTGCCAATGATACAATCTTCCTTGTTGGTCAGCGAGCCAGGATCCTGGAGAAGAAATGTCAAGCTGGAAGCCACAAAATGTTGGCAGTCCGAGCCTCGCTCGAAGAAGTGGTTGTAAAAGCAAATGGAAAGCCATTTGAGATCGCCTGCCTCAACGGACCCAGAGACACTGTTCTGAGCGGAACAGTTGACGAAATTGAAGCACTGATGGCGGAACTTCAAATCTCTGGAATCAAGTGCTTTCAATTAGATGTGGCATTTTCATTTCACTCCAAGCAAATGGATCCTATTCTCCACGAGCTGGAAGATATGGCTAGGACAGGGGCAATCTTTCATCCTCCAAAACTACCCATCATCTCCCCTGTGCTCGGCAAAATCATATTCGATGAGAGGACAATCAATGCCAATTATATATGCCGAGCAACGAGAGAGACGGTCAATTTTATGGGCGCCGTGGAAACGGCACTCCGCATCTCAACGGTTGACGAAACAATGGCGTGGATTGAACTGGGACCACATCCCGTCTGTGTTGGATTTGCACAATCGATCATGTCACCGATAGGTGTTACAGTTCCATCCCTCCGTCGGGGCGAGAATAATTGGCAGACTCTCTCACAAACCCTGGCTCTGCTTCATCGTGCTGGTGTAGAAGTGAACTGGAACGAGTTCCATCGGCCCTTCGAAAAAGAGCTGCGGCTTTTGGACCTGCCTACGTATGCTTGGAACGAGAAGAACCACTGGATACAATATAACGGCCATTGGGCTCTCACTAAAGGCAACATTCCAGATGATATTGAGAAGAAAACACTTTCAACAACGATTCCCGCCACTCATGCACGACCTACGCCCATCTCCAGCCTGCGAACATCCCTAGTTCACAGGGTTGTCGAAGAGGATTTCTCTGGGGTAGCCGGACGAGTTGTCGTTCAATCAGATTTGATGCATTCGGAATTTTTGGCTGCTGCATGGGGACACAAGATGAACGGGACCGGTGTGGTGACTTCAGTAAATCTCGACGCTTACGCCTAAACTTGACAATCAGTCTGCTAATGATTCTTGCAATTTCTAGTCGATACATGCGGATATTGCATTGACACTGGGGAAGCATCTCCTGCACAATCTGGATTCAAAGAACGACAAGAGTGTCCTTGATATGGAAATATCGAACCTTGTCGTGCGTGAAGGCTTAGTGGCACAAAAGAAGACTGACACGCCGCAACTCATTCAGATCTCTATCAGTACATCTGATATTAGATCGGGGATAGCATTCATTGAGATTCACAATGCTTCTAGTGATGGGCTCTCGCTTCTGGACAAGGATCCTATCGTGACAGCCCAGGTTGTCTATGGAAGTGCAAAGACCTGGCTATCTAGTTGGGTGCCATTCCTCCACTTTGTTCAAGGTCGAATCGAGACGTTGTCACAATTGGCTGACGATGGTCTGGCAAACAGACTCTCGCATAACATGGTATATGCGCTTTTTGCGGATAAACTGGTTGACTATGCGGAGAAGTATCGCGGCATGCGCTCTGTGGTACTACACGGACTCGAGGCTTTCGCCGATGTTACCATCAAGGAAACTGATATGAGTGGAACTTGGACTGTACCTCCTTTCTTCATTGATAGCGTGTGCCACTTGGCTGGCTTCGTCGTGAACGTTTCGGACACTATGGACACAAAGAACAACTTCTGTGTCACCCCTGGCTGGGGATCCCTTCGCATGGCTCGCCCGCTGGTGGCTGGAGCCAGTTATCGATCTTATGTGAAGATGATTCCTACTGCCGAGGATGCATCAATCTATCTAGGTGACGTCTACGTACTGCAAGGCGACGAAATTGTGGGGGTCATGCAGGCTATGAAGTTCCGTCGCTACCCCCGCGTGCTACTGAATCGCTTTTTTTCATCTCCCGACACCAGATCCAGTCTCGTGAGTGGTGCAGATGTTCCCGATACTGGCAACCTTGCTCATTCGGGGCTGGTACCTTCTTCTTCGCCTGCTGCAGAAGTCATCAGATCAAAAAGGGGCTTACAATCGGCCGCCGAATCTGCGATGAAAGAGATCTCAATGGTTGCTCCCGCAAACTGTTCGCCTCTTCAACGAATGGCTGTCGATGCAATAGGCAGCTCTTCCGCAAGTAGTACTGTTGGTAAAGCAATAGCACTGGTGGCTCATGAAGCCGCTATGGAGCCGTCTGATTTGACAGATGATGCCACGTTCACTGGTCTCGGTGTCGACAGCTTGATGAGTTTGGTCATCGCTGAACGGCTACGAGAGGAGTTGGGAATTTCCGTCAGCGGGAGCCTGTTTTTAGAATACCCAACTGTTGGGGATTTGCGAACTTGGTTGGCCGAGTATTATGGTTGATTCGTCGTCTCACGAGGTAAAGAATTTGTTTCGATGTCTTACCATGTGAAGTCTGTCTTTTCGGATCTATATCTACTTGATTTGCTTTTAGTCTACATCTTTTAGCTGTTGCTTGTGTCCTTTTATATCCATGCTTCTGTTCAACTCTCTCTAGTCATCCTCGTCTATTCTTCTCAGACTTTGATACTATCCTAGTATATGGTTCCCTGAAGATCTCTGTCCAAAGAAACGTTTGTCATCTCGCTGAAAATAGCATGGTTTGTCCCATCTCAGGGTCAATCAAATCCTCGCGATATGACATGCAATAAGACCTGGAAGGCTTATATCTGCAGCGACTCGCCAAAATGGCGCACAAACTCCATTTCCTCCTATAACTCTATACGTCATTTTAGCTTTTTGCTGACTTGAAGACTTGAAGAATCAGTACAAGCGGAAATTGCGGTTGTCGTATAACGTTCCGTTGTATTGCTATGAGATAAGTTATTCGCCTCTCACTCGCCTCACTTCTTCCTTTTCCTTATATTCCCCAACTTGTGTATTTCTTCCTTCGTCTTCTCTCTTCGCCTTTATCCTCTATCCTTGGTTCTTTTTTCTTGTTACGTCGGTTTGTCCTTTGCCTTTCCATTGCCCTATCTCCCATGATACAGGACTACAAGTACTCAGGTATCTCTTGCTCTCGTTTCCATTTCTCCAAGACTCGTTTTATCCTCATATTCACCTTAAATGGTGCACATTTTCCATTTATCTGACCACGCCGGCCGCACTGATCATCTTCAACTTCGCATCCACCACCCTTCAACTTTGCCTCACACAAAATGGATATTCAGGTCGCTGCCAGCTATCATGCTTTCTCGTATTAAGTGACATTAGTTTCCTTTAGTTACAGAAGGGCTATAGACAATCTACTTGTCTGAACCATGCAAACTGGCAGTACCTGCCTTGCGCAGTTCTCGCAAATACAGTAGTGGCCATTGTGAGATTTTTCGCATCTATGATATGTTGTATTGCCTGATGTTTCGAGTGCACACATACTACTCGTAAGTCTCTACCAAGCCTTGAGACTTCACATTAAATTCTTTCTTGTAGGTCGCAATGTCTACCAACCACGTTATAACAGAGAATTAGATAATTTCAGAGTTGTTCGGGGTGGCGACTCGATATGAGGCTGTTGGCTCTTTCCCGATATGGTGAGGGTGCAGTAAGAAGAATTATGTCTCTCCAACTTCATTCACGACTCCATCCAGGACATGCCTTCTCTTACCGATCCTATAGCTGTATACAATCGGTCAGCTGGGAAATGGAGGTATTACAAGCTCTCCATTGCCGGAGCCGTTATCCTCGGGACCCTTACACTGGCTGGACTGATTTTCTTGCTGGGGTGGTACATTCGACGAGCTCGTCAGGCCCGACGTCTCCGGAATTGTGGCAGCCGCGAATCAGATCACTTTGGTCTTTCCACAGTCTCGCTTGCTAGGACAAGCAAAAGCATCGATGCCTTTCTCGTGAAAGATGCCGACCCGGAGCGTACATCCCTCATGTTCAGCAGAAGCCCCTCTCCGTCTGTTACTATCATCCTTGACGATTCAGAACACCTAAACTCATTGACTGAAGTCTATCGCACCAGTTGCAATGCATCGGCGAGTACACTTGGTAATGTGAGTATCATCCTGAAGTACTCTGGTAAGAACTGAGAGCAATAGCTAATACAAATGCGATTGTAGGGACCTCGAAGCAACTCAATTCAGCGTTCGACGAGCTCTACCCCAACAGCATTGATTCCATCCGCTGTGAGCCCAACAAACAGATCCTCCCTCATGTGGAACACAACATCGGCCGACACCGAGGCTGGATGTGGCTCTCGTCTCAGTCGAGATTCAATCTGCTCGCATATGAATCAGAGCCCCACTGACGGGTCAAATCTCGCAACTCTCAGGCATAGTCCGGTCGTTCCCACGCATCTGTTGCTTCCAATCGCCTGTCAATCAATGGCCTTTTGCAGTCTGCTGCCCACATGTTCAGGACGCGGAGCATTCTAGGCTTTCGGACAGAAGAACCCAAGACTTCGCTGAGACAATTCCTCCTTCTTCCGTTTCCTCGGTCTTAAGAAATGCTTTGGTCGAGTTTCGTCGTTCTCGGCAATTTTCTTCCACTTCTCAGACACCTCAGGCACCATACCCTTTCTGTGGGTTCTCCCAGGGCTGAGGATTCAAACCTAAGTTTCCTCGTGCACTTTTCCTTTCAATTATTGCCTATTAACTATAATTTCACGGTGGGGGATTGGAGTGTGATCATGCTTGATAGATGACTTGTTTCTCGTTGCTTATTCTTTCTGTTGCTGCCACATCTTGGAAGGCATGAGCAGAGTCTTTATTTGTTTTCGGTGCCTTCGTTATTTTTGTTCAGATCCTACTTTTATAAAACCAATACCTCTCTCGGGTCCTTGTACCGCAGCAAATCAAGGGCACCCTTGTAGATACTACTAAATGCAAGCTTTGATCGAACCCGAGACGCTGCTGGCTCACAGGAGGAATTTTTGGATACTACGATCAAATAGTGAGGTTTCATGGTATTCATAGCTTTTTCCTGGATAGTGTTCTTCTAGCCGATGTATAGTTAGCTACAGTTTCCTTGACTAAATGGTGGGTGGATACCGCGCTATTCCTGGTTAGCCATAGCGAACTCTGCCATACATCGGAGTCCGTTTTCACCATATGCAACTGTGGGTATATAGCAGGTTTCTGCGCTTTATGTGGATGATATTGATTTTGGGAAGTCATATGTGTTATAACTTGAATGTCTTAAATGATACTATCTCATAGGACGAGGGAATTAATTTGAGGGAGAACGAGTTAAATACAGCATCACAATGTTCATCTAATGGCTGGAAAAATCTCTAGACGAATGGCAGTCATTTCTGACACAAACAAATATTACCGAGTTAGGGTTGTATCTCTATACCGATTGTTAGAGACCATCCCAATGAGTGATCAGTGATACTTTCGGCTCTTAAACGGGCAAACTTTATTCTGGAAGGTGTCATTGAAGGTATCATTTCTATGGATCGGTGGTACAATAGGTTCTTCAGGAGTACAGGGATGGCCAGGGCTTCAAGTACTATACAATCGAGAGCATTAAAACAGAATGGAACGAGTCTCTGGCGGATAGATTAAGGAGAGATGGATTAATTGAGAATCTGACCAGATTATTGACTAAGTTGGCCAGAACATGTGTGCGATGCTCTTACGTCTTCACTACCTATCAGTAGGCTCGTCAATGAGATCAGAAACACAACCCTTGGTGGAGCACAGCTCATTTTCTTCAAGTAGAGGCGGTACTTGTCCAGTGTAATCATAGATTGTTGCATTAGTTGTCAAATAGATAGCCAATGATGTGGCAAGAGCATTGTCTTGGATTGAGTAGCTTCTGAGTTAAGCTATGAACGAGATGATACATTGGGACATCGCCACGCGCCACGCTATTCCAGAACCCAGGGGCGTTAGACAGAGAACCAACAAAGAAAAAGAGACAGAAAATAAAAAGCAAATATCCAAACACATGCTCGCCATGAGATGTACAAATCAAAAAGGAAAGCCAGTAAGAAATGAGGGAAACCCTCTCATTGAGATCTATGATGTATCAATCATGTTCAAGGATTCATCTCACGCACACTGCGCAGGCAGCGTTCAAGCCGTTTCCCACGCTCCTTTTCACGAACAAGAGTATCCTTGACAAAAGCACGTATGGCATCACGGCCAACCTTTTCACGCCATGAGGTCCAGCCAGCCAGCTCGCTGACTACTACATCTTTGTTCCATGAAACCTCTTTTGCGAGACGGGTGGCTTCGGATTCACCGTCGCGAATCTTTTTTCCAAGTCGCGGACGGACTTTTGACGAGACTCTTCAAAACCGGGTAGGTTGAGATTGAACTTGCGGGGAAGGGACGAAGAGAGGAGGGAGGAGCGCGAGCGAGAAATGTTGCGGGTTGTTGAGGAGAGGGAGGACATGAGAGACAGTGGGCGGGAGAGAGATTCAAGAATTGCGGCAGTTGTGTTGTCGACTGAGGAAAGAGCGGCAATATACTGCAGGAGAGGGGGAGGAGTCCGACCTTGAGGTCGATAGGTATGTGGCATATCGGGCGAAGGCCTCTATATGCGATACGGGAAGCGCATTTGTGGGCTCTCGGAGAGTTGCGAGGACAGATGAGCATAGCATCACGGCATCAGCAAGATCTGATGCTCCATTGTGCAACGCATGTCCACGGCGGATCAGGTTGCGCGTATTTGCGTGCACTCCGCGCACCATCTCCTGGGCGTGGTTGACGAACTGCTCGGTATCGCGCATTCCATCCAGCGAAACAGGCGGGTATTCATCGGCGATTGTCTCTGTGAGCACTGCTGCCTTCCGGCGAGAACGATCGGCCACCATTTCAGGTTGAAGCTCTGGAACGAGGAAAAACTCCCACAGCATTTCATGGGTCGAGAAGGTTGGATGGGTCAATAGCGTCTTGAGGAAACGGTCGAGCCTTTCCTGTAGATCATGGAGCACGGACCGCGATGGCTTTGAATGGATTTGAAATGGATTTCGGAAATCCGAAAGAGATGGCATATAAGACGCTGGATGTTCCACTGCAAGCCACTTGGCTAAATTCTCGAAGTCCGAGAAATTGCGACGACAAGTTGTAACCGTGTATGTTGTTGATCCAGGCCGTGAAGATGCCACTGATTCGGATGGAGGATACGGAGCCCCGGATTTGAGGATGAAGCGTACTGTTGCATCTTCCACAAAGAATGATCGCACGACGGTCGTGACACGGCCAGAAGGGTCTCCACAGGCAGATGGGGGATGGGACAACAAAATCAAGTCGTCGATGCGATTTCGTACCTCGTCATCTTTGGCTAGTTCAACGGCCGTCAAACCACGGGCCTCTTTGATATGAACATCGACCCTTGGGTCTAGGAATAGAATGCGAACTTGATCGACTCGCCCGTACTTGCTGGCCATCATCAATGGTGTGAATCTCTTGTCATTTGTCGCATTGGGGTCACAATCGCTCTCCTGGAGAATCCTTCTTGTGATCTCTGGGTCGCCAACAATATGCAATAAGGTGTTCCCTTTGGCGTCGACATGGTCATCCAATTGAAGTGGTTTGTTATCACCTTGTGACTGTTGCGCTGCAGTCAAAGCAGCTTGGACCATGGATTTATACTCGGGATGATCATAGGATCGGCAAAGTGCGAAGAGTGGAGTTTGTCCGTGCTTGTCTCGCAGTCTCCATGGAACGATGCTACCGAGTCGGGCCAGCAGAGAGGGTGTGCTGAACAGATAATGGGCGACAGTCCGGCCATGAACATCGGATTTGGTCAAATAGAAGGCAACCACATTTGCGTCTGTCTTTGCGAACAAAAAGTCCAAAAGAATCTCAACAATCTCGTTGTGAGCTAGCTGCACCGCAGCATTCAATAGTGTCGTTCCATTGGCATTAGTATCTTGGAGAATCTCTTCCAACGGGTAGTATTCCTCCAGAGTCAACAAGTATCTCAAAGCCTCAGGCTGACGACCCTCTACTGCCATCATTGGTATAGAATCACCGGCAGGGTCTTGGGTTTTGGTTAAAGTCTCAATTGAGCTATCACCCTCGATTCCACTCGCCATAGAACCAACAGTGGTTGTCCTAGAGATGAATGAGACGGCTGATGATTCTGACATGCTGCGAACATCCATTGACACTTTTTTGACTGATCGATGAGGCTCTTGGAGGATTGAAGGATCATCCCATGTCTGGAATGGAAATACGTGTGACAATGGCGGTGCATCGACAATGGCTTCCTCTTGGTGTGTTCCGCTATTGATGTGATTGGTGAAAGAGTTTTCAAGTGGCAGTTCCTCTGCTTCATCCGTGTCATCTGTCTGGAAGAACACAGACTTCCGCTCTGGCTCCGGTGGAGTGATGTCATCTTCTGATTCGTGGTCTTCGTTTGGTTCCAAAATGGCCTTCATATCAGATAATCTGCCTGCTTTGGTGGCTTGCCATAGACGTCGGTTTCGAGCACTGGCGCGACGTAGCCCTGCGGAATCGGTCACAAGATACATCAAAACAGCCTCGAAAGTACTCAGAGCATAGCCCATCTCACCGCTATCAACATCATCGATATAGATGAAGTGCTGCATATACAGCAACCGAGCTTGGAGATGTCTAGTTTGGGATCGAATCACAACAACGAGCAACAATGAGACTAGAACATCGGCATTGATCGTGACAGAAGAAGTTCCTTTCTCGGACGCTGGGCCGTCCAGCTGATCATAGCTTCCTGGGTAGGAAATGACTTTGACAGTTCCAAGGAGAGTACTCAGCATATCATGAGGACACCGGGCCTCGTTGATCTTCCGAAACTCATCCACACCTCGCCCCAGTCGCCGAATCAATTCTCGCTTCCCTGCCCGTCCACCTTCCACGGAAATTCCAACCTGGGACACATCAATGCTCTCCATCTGTCGTATTCGAGAGTCCAACTCTGTGTCTTCTGGCTGGCGGAAGGAACAAAGACGAGGGAAAAGTAAGGGCTCGTGAACTTGCTCGGCGACATAGCGTTCTATGAGACGTTCGACTACAGGGCCAGTGAGATCGGTGGTCGCTCCGAGCAGTGACAGTTGTTGCTTGTCAACGAGACGAAATAGATCAATGGCCGCAGTGACAGCAGTCTCTAAGCTTCGACGCATAAGGTCTTCATCGTCTTCGAAGTATTCTTCCGAATTGAAAGGCAGTCGTCCTCTGCTGCGTGAAGACCAACTGCGGATAGAAGAGCTTTCGTCCGTTAGTGACTCGGTGCGGGTGAGCTTGTGCATACGCTCACTGCCAGATGCAGACGGCGATCGTGAAGGAGGAGGCGGTAGCGGTTTCCCAAGTTCCTTTCCAAATTCGCGGAATAATCGTTCGAGACCAGGCTGCATCTGTCGGGCAATCATCGGAAAGTTGGCAAGCAGTTCACCAAAAGTTCTAATCTCTTGTTTTTGTGGCGTTCCCATTGAATCCCCATTTCCATATTTTTTGTCCGCCGTGCTAGGTTCAATGGCCCTGCTTCCTGTTCCAGGCACTGCGGCAGGTATGATCCTTGCTGGATCATACGTTCCGATCAGCGGGCGAGAAATGTAATAAATGAGCCATGGCCGCGACTCATTGGACGCAGTGTAGTATAGCGCATCCGACAGAAGCTGAGCTTGTGTGAGTGACTTGAATCCTGGTGTCAGATCATTGTCAGCACAAGTCATCGCGTTCACTAAAAAGAACTTGTTACCTTTGTTGCTGTATACCGAGTTGTCCTTAATGATCACTGTCCTGCCGTTAAATGTCGTAACCTGTCTCGCCTTCCCTCGACTATCCCGCACATTGTTGTCTTCTTTTGAATTTGTAGAGCCGGTATGAATAGGGATGCGTAACACATGACTCCCTAGAAATTCCTCCGACGCGACGAGATCAGAATACAGCAAGTTTGATTCCCGGTCGCGTGAACCGATGAGACAATCCGTCGTGGGTACGAGCAAGACCTAATGAACGCACACAATATCAATTAGCCACTCCGGACGATCCGCTGGTTGATTGACGGTCTCCACCTACATGGTTCCCAACCGGTATACACTGGCCCGGGACAGTGCTTCGAAAGAAGGCACGGAGAAAAGGGTTTAGAGGGTGCATCCAAACGGTTTTGGACGGCCCAGTCGAGAAACTCCAGCAATCATCAAGCCGTCCGTCTCAGCTTGCCGGAGTTGGGGATATGTGCGCGGTGTAATTTCGCGGGGAAGAGCTTCGGCGCATGCAACTGCAGGCAGCAATCTGGGTATAAGGTCAGAGCGCGTCGATGGAACTTTTGGAACAACTTCAGCAAAAGCACAATGCCAAATCACAGAAAACAAGACAATCAAAGCGCCGAGGCAAGCAGAAAGAGTGATGAAGCAGCAGCCCCAGGGTGATTCGAGAACGTGATCGACGAGCTGATGGGCGCTATACCCCATTAGGTAATTATTCTGGGAGCCTGAGGCAACAAATAATCTCCGGGCCCACCTACATCTATGTTCAGCACTCCCATGTCATGTTTGGCTTTGTAAGCTTGTTAAGTATGATATGAGGACCTGGCGATATGATGGACTCGTTTTACCATAAAACTTAAACTATTGGAATGTACTTAAGAGATGGTGCATTGTGACCTATAAGTTATGTTTCGAAAACAACAATATCAAAATCGAGCCGTTGGTAAAAACGCGTCTTTAAATGACTTTCAGTTTGTAGATATCTTTAAGTAGCTTGGTCAAGCCCACAGCTGTCCAGAAAAGAGCCATCCGGATTGATGTTCTGGATCTTAGGAAACGAAAACGTGCCTTGCCGATATATATAAACATATCTGCAATGTGGACGTAACTCAGTGACTTTTCCTATCTTGCCTCCAATGCTACACACATATTATAAATTACTCCCACTCTTCCTCACCATGGAATTTCCCGGGTGACCTGACTATGGTTTTCGGGACTCAAAGTGAGCCGTTCTGTTTGTATGCAGTTTGCAGACGGATGGCTTGTATTCCTGAAAACAGAATTCTAATATACAGAGTAGGTGCCGATCGACATACACCAATTTGAAAACAAAGAAAGAAGTAAAGAACAAGGAAAAAGGCTGCTCGGCTTTCTCCACACCATGCAATTCAGTACAGTTTGGCTGTATATAAGAAGCCAAATGAAACCAACAATGACCTCTTCACCGGCGAGGGAAAAAAATATGCTTTTGAGACTGAAAGATCATCCCAGTCTACGCTCATGCCTGCTGCGGGTACCACCGAACTTGAGTCGAGTGGAATCGGTCACTCGCACCACAAGTCCTTTGATGAATCGTCCCTCATTGCCCAGCAGAACCTTTGTGAATGCCTCTCGGCCCTTTCCAAACCCCCGGAACACGACTTCTAGTCGCTTGATCTCCATCAGGAGGCCTTTCTCCTTGATTTGGCTTAGCACGTGGGCGGACAGTTGGTATGCCGGGTCAAATCCAGAGCGGCCGGCTTTGCGGAAGCCAATCTGGCCACATCCAATTGACATAATAGGGTTGCCGTTTGGCCGTGTCAAGGTGAGGATTGTGTTGTGCTTGTGGCAGTAGACGTGCAGGTGGTGAGCCGGGGTTTGGTCGGCGTAGGGGTGCTTAATCACATCGGCTTCGAAACTTTCAGCCATTCTGAAGTTGTCACGGCGCGCAGGGGCCCTCTCGCCCTGCATCATTTGCGTGATTGCAGACAATGGCGATGAAGGCGATGAGGTGTCGGAGGGTGCCTTCGAGTCTCGACCCAGCATCTGTCTTTGCATTTCATCACGATCGCCCCGTGGGACTTGTTGAGAGCTAGACAGGGAAAAGGGACGTGTGATACACAATGAGTGAATTCGAGGCTGAGATTGGCGACATACCGACGGCAAAGCCTTGGTCAACGCGCTCATCGAAAAGGAGCTCATGGCGACGGTGCGCAGTAACAAGGATTTCGAAGGGCGTAAAGAGAACAGCAAAAATAACAATTGAATAGAGATTGAAGGCCGGAGTGCCTAACCGTGAACCCCGGGTGTTGTCGCAGGTCCCGTTGTCGGACCGAACAGAGGGAACGCTGGAAGTTTTTCGAAGTCTTGGCATCTCGACTTTTTCCCTTCCCCGATCTCTTCGCCTCCTTCACCACTCAACATATCGCGTCCAGGCTGGGCTGGAATCCCCCGTCTTTTATATTAGATTTTACCTCCATCTTTCATCTCCGTTATCCTTTTGCTCCTCATACTTCTCTGTTACCACAGATGATTCCGACCAAGATGTCTGCCGCCGCGCGAGCCGCTATCCTGCGGTCTCAGGCATCGATTCTCAGATCCTCCCAGCGGTTATCGACTCGCGCTGGGTTATATTCGACCATCTCAGCTCAGACCTCAGCCCTGTCTCCTAGGTCCTCCCGGGCCATTATCCAACCCGCACCTCACACCGTCTCCCAAATTGTCTCGCCGTTCGCCGCCCTCCCATTGACACGTTCATTCCACGTCGCAACCTCCCTTTGGCAACAGCAGCAATCGCAAAAGCAGAGCGAGGAGAAGCAGAGCGAGGGTGCCAAGTCTGAATCACAGGGCGAGGAATCCAAAGAGGAAGGAAAGGAGAAGAAAAAGGAAGAGGCACCTCCGCCACCACCTCACGGAGACAAGTCCCCGTGGCAGGTTTTCCGTGAGACTCTGCAGTCTGAGTTCAAAGCCTCCAAGGAATGGGAAGAGTCTACCAAGGCGCTGGCATCCTCAGCCCACCAGTTCACCGAGAACGAGAACGTCAGACGTGCTCGTGCTGCCTATGACGCTGCCTCGGGAGCTGCTACAAGCAAAACCGGAGCTGCTTTCAAGACCACCGGTAAGGCTCTTGGAAAGGGAGCTGCTTGGACGTGGAACACTTCCGTCGTTAAGGGCGTTCGCAAGGGTGTCAGTGCAACCGGAGAAGGACTCGAGAAGGCCACACGACCCGTTCGTGAGACCGAGGCATACAAGAGTGTCAAGGATGCAATTGATGATGGTAGCAGTTCCCGCTACGGTGGTTGGGTTGAAAAGGAGGAGCGCCGCAAGGAGCGACAGCGTCGGGAGGCACAGGAGCTCAAGTCTGGCAAGATTCGTCACGTTGACCAGATGATTGAGGATCCGAAGTAAGTTTTGATAATCCCATGCCCAATTGGTACATGTCTGACTGATTTACCCCCAGCGCCGGTACCAACGTCACCATCCACAAGGACGCTGCCTGGAAGGACTCGTGGCGTGACTTCAAGGACTCCAATCCCATGATGCAGAAGCTCTTCAGCATGAAGGAAACCTATAACGAGTCCGAGAACCCCCTTATCAGCACAGCACGCAGCATTTCCGACAAGATTGGAGGCTTCTTCGCTGAGAACGAGACCGCTCAGGTCATCAAGAAGTTCCGGGAGATCGATCCCAACTTCCAGATGGAGCCGTTCCTGCGGGAAATGCGCGATTACATGCTCCCCGAAGTCCTCGATGCCTACGTTAAGGGAGACGTTGAGACTCTGAAGCTTTGGCTCTCGGATGCTCAGTACCACGTCTACGCTGCTCTTGCCCAACAATACACCACCGCTGGCCTCAAGTCCGATGGTCGCATCCTCGATATTCGTGGCGTTGACATTTCGCATGCCCGTATTCTGGACCCCGGTGACATCCCAGTGTTCGTCGTCACTTGCCGGACCCAAGAAATCCATGTTTACCGCAAGGTCAAGACCGGCGAGCTTGCCGCCGGTATGGAGGACAAGGTTCAACTAGTCACTTACGCCATTGGCCTGACCCGTATTCCCGATGAGGTCAACAACCCTGAAACTCGGGGTTGGCGATTGATCGAGCTGCAGAAGGCCGCGCGCGATTACATTTAATTGTGCAATAGCCTCTGTTCGATCTCTTTTGCCTCCTTTCTCCCCCTTCCGCCGACATATTCTCTTGTGGATTTCATCTCTTCTCGCATCTTGATCCCACACCTTCCAATTGTACAATATGACTGTTCGATATCAAGCCAGGTGGACCTGGCACTTCTTTACGGTTATGCTTATTCCAGTGACTGCAATTTTGTTCTTCGCTGGTTAATCAGATTTTCTTTTTCTTCATGTATTAATCCTTCATTCGTCCTGTTGTTCACCCGCCCCGGTTGATTTTCGGCCTGTTCGCCTAGGATCTTGCTCTCAAGACATAACTAGGCTTGCTCAGGGCTGAATGTTTCATCCTTTCTATAGACTAGGACGCGCGTTGGATCTTATCTGATGGCATTTCTCTGGATCCTGAGGTGTTCTGCTGGCGTCTTTTTGCATTGTGTTTCCACTCTCCCCTCGCCACCCAGTATGACTGCATTGGGTTATTGGTTTTGGTTTCTGTTGTCAGGTTTGCGCCCTGGGTCATCACAAGCCGAGCGCCGGCTGCAACGTTATGAAGCGTCTTGAAATCATGTAAATATATAGAAAAATAAGATTCTTGACTTGCATTCTGTGACCTGCGCCTTCTTGTCTACTGTAGAAGAAGCGAAGCCTCTCAAGATTTACTCATTTGGCTCCGTGGTTCTATTAGACTTCTTGTACAACAGGATATAGTTTCCCTCCTAAGCTGACAGAGAGGCATGTGCCAGGAATTGTATTTCTTAAAGAACGCTTGAAATTTGACTTTGCTACATGGTATATCAGATTTGGTCTTTCAATTTCATGCCATCAATCATTCGATGTGCCAGTGGATTAGTTCTGGCCACCTCGTCCAGCGCCGCCCGCACCGCCACCCATCATGTTCCGAGCCCTGTGGATTATATGTTAGTATATTGACACTTGGAATTTAACGCTTTGATTGACTTACATATCGGCAAGGTTAGGATCACTCATCAGGCTAGACATGTCAGGCATGCCACCACCCTGGCCAAAGTTTTCAGCCATCTGGCGGAGGCGGGGGTTGTTCATCAAGTTGCCAAGCATATCGGGGTTGCTCATCAGGTTCTGTGCCATGCTGGCGAACATGGGGTTATTCATCATGGAGCCCAGGTCAGGCATACCACCGGCACCACCACCGCCGCCACCACCAAGCATACTAGCCAGGGAAGACAGATCGGGCATGCCACCACCACGGGAGGCACCGGGGGCAGTGTCAACGTCCTCGGAAGGAGGTTCGCTGGTGCGGCTGGCCTCCTCGAGTTTCCGGGTGGATGTCTCCAAACCGCGCTTCATGGCTTCACTGCCACCATTTCCTTCGGCCTCAATACCCTTCTCGTAAGCCTCCTTGGCGGCGTGGTAGTCGCCCATGTCGAAGCGAGCGAGACCCAGTCGGCTCCATGCCTTGGAGTACTTGGGATCGGCGGCAGCAGCAAGCTCTGCATCCTCTGCGGCCTTCTCGTGCTGAACAGAGGCCGAATAGGCGGCAGCACGGTTGGAGAGATAGATCGGGTTGGCGGGGGCAATCTCGAGGGCCTGGGTGTATTTCTCAATGGCACCGGGGTAATCCTTCTTCGCCATAAGAGCATTTCCCTCGGACTTCAGCTTATCGGACTCGGGTGTCGGAACACCAGCCTTGGGCTTTTCCTGGGATTGTTGAGCTCCTGCCTCGGTCGATTGCGGGGTTGACTTGTTGCGCAGCTTCTCGTAGACACTATAGATTCCGACAAGAGATTGTCCGCCTAGGGCATCCTTCACGGCGGCCTCATCGGAAGGATCAACCTTGAAGGTGTCGGCAATACAGGATTGGGCGATTTCGATCGACTCGGCATCGTCGGCCGTAAGGGTGCCGTCCTTCAGGCTGGAGCCCAGGAAATCGATGACGGCCAAAGCCAGGCGCTTCTTGCTCTCTGTTGGGGCCTAGGTGTTATTGTCAGCTCGATGCAGCATCCAGCACCGGGGGTAACTCACCATGATAGCGATTTTTACAGAGATTTTGAATGGGGGGAGTTCAATCAGGAGAAGGAGAGGGAAAAAAACAGGTAAGGCGATGCGGGGGACAAGCTCCAGCACGTGATCGCTGCTTATCGGCCGCGGTCTGTTTTCCCCAGCTGTTTGGATTGTTGCTTTCAGTTTGATGTTCACCTGGGGGTGACTGTCTACACTTCTGACAATTATTACCTGACTGGATATGACTCCATGTGAGCTCCATTGCCAGTCTTAACCCGTGATCCTGAAGTGAGCCATGTACTGGCCTCATGGAGTTCCCCGGGTCTATGCGGTCAATGGGCCCGACATTCCCTATGTCTCCTCATACGAAGATCGTGAAATCGATGCCTCCTCTACCCACGACAGTACCAACCCATTGAACGATAACGAGAATGACGAGGCTCAGCAAGGGATCCCGGACACACAGCGAAATGAGCCGGGCACTGAACCATCCCCCGACCCGGGCACATCCAAATGGGAAGATGAAACCATCAAGGGTGTTTGCGTGTCCAGAGCTGGTCAAATATTCGCGACAATGACAGAGACATCCATTGCTCTTTGGCAGACCCGAGTATGTTCACAATCATGGTGTTTACGGCGGGGGAGTTGGGCCTTGATACTAATAATTGTGACAGCCCACAGCAGTTGTTGCAGCAGTCACTAGATCCACATTCTCCTTGAATACATATGGCCCTAACGTCGACCTTCTCATGCATCCGGACTCAACAATTCTCGTTGTACAGACTCTCAATGGATACCTCCTGACATACTCGGTGGCGTCGGACTCAACGACTCCAGTCTACCAGCAGCGATTCGATCATTCTACACATCATCGTCGCCAGCAACTGGCTCGCTTCTCAGCGGTTGAAGAAGCCAATGTGGTTAAGAGCATCAGTATCCGGTTCCGAATGGCCATCAAGATCGAGTCGGGGATCGTCAAGGCGCTGGCGCTGGATCAAGAACTCGTTGTAGCCACCGTGAAACCAGCGGCCATACAGTGTATTCGATGGACTCCTGAAGCAGGTGGAACACAGACTACATCGGAGCTTCTGAGCCGCATACTGGGGATATCAAAGAAGGTTTCTATTGTGGACATGGTATATGACCGCGCAATGAACCTTTTAATATGGATTACGAGCAGTGGCCAGGCATATGCCGTGCAACGAGAATCCGGGGCGCAAGAGGATTCTGAAGCAGCCAAGAAGTCTTTCCACGGACATTGTTTCCATGACCCGAAGCATGACGGTGATAAGGCATTGAAGGTGGCAGTGAATGCTCGCTTTTCTCTGCTAACCGTGAGTTGCACCAACGGCGAAGTCTGGGTCTACACTGCGAAAGATTACATGGGCAATGTTCCGTTTTCACAGAAGCTCCAGCTGCCAGCCTCGCCAACAACGACCGGGTACTTGTCTTTTATGAGTTATTCACCGGACGGATATTGTCTGTTTGCAGGCTATGAACATGGCTGGACAACATGGAGTGTCTTTGGGAAACCTGGCGGGAACAGCTTTTCGGCAGACCCTGCGCTGGCAACAACGAATACAGAAGATTGGCTGACTGGCATTTCGAATGGTTGTTGGATCGGCGGTGGCTCAGATATCATTCTCTCTGGGCAGAACGATCGCCGCTTGTGGATTTTGGAGACAGCTCGCAGTGCTTTGACTGGTTGCTTTTCTTCTGCAAACTTGGCCCGAGGTCTGCTGCAGACTGGAACCGAGTTCATTCTCTATCGTGGTCACGATATGCCGGATCTTATGACAATTTCTGGAAAGGATTCCCTTTGGCACCATGCCCAGTATCCTCCAGCATATCTTCATTCCCAGTGGCCGATTAAATCTTGCGTTGTGTCCCAGGATGGACGATATGTTGCAATCGCAGGTCGGCGCGGCCTTGCTCATTACAGCGTGAATAGTGGTAGATGGAAGGTCTTCGAAGACTCTAATGCCGAGAACTCTTTTGCTGTGCGAGGAGGGATGTGCTGGTATGGTCACATACTGATTGCAGCGGTTGAGAGTGACGGCTCATTTGAGGTATGCCAAATATTTGATCTACAGTTATTCCACTGAAGACTGACCTCTTTTAGGTGCGCCTTTATTCGCGCGAAGCTTCTCTCGGCAACGGCAACAATTCCATCATGTTCACTGAATATCTCCCCTCACCAGTGGTGTTCATTGGCCCCTCTGGAGAAGATTCTCTTTTGGTCTACACATTCGATAATATTCTCTATCATTACATCATCAATACAACACAATCTCAAATTACTCTTGTTCCTGTTGGGCAGATCGCTTTCAACGGGATTGTTCGAGCGCCATCCCGTGTGCGAGCAATCAGCTGGGTTTTGCCTGAGGAACAAATGCGTGAGTTCTCTTTCAATGAAGGGGTATCGATTGAAATACTAAAGGGAAAGCAGGAAATGGCGATCCATCTCAAGATGTCAAAGTAGCATCGGTGCTTCTCCTTGTGGATGGCAATTTGGTTTTGCTGCAGCCCGTGGTGTCCGAAACAGGCGGATTAAAATATGACATGCGCGTGGTATCTCATGATGTGGAATATTATATTCTGATGCGCGACCAGCTTTCGTTCAACTTTGCCCCGCAGGTTGATGAATCCCTGCCTCCCAGTCCCTCTGCGGGGATGATACTTGAGCCATCTCCCAGCACTTTGTCTCTCAGGGACTCCCTTTGGATGTTCCGGGGCAAAGACCTGCTCGCTTGGAATGATGTACAAGACGTTTTACAACAAGAGACGGTACCGGGTCCACTCCACATTCCCCTAGACTTCTATCCACTGTCTGTGTTGCTGAACAAAGGTATTGTGCTCGGAGTTGAGTCCGAGATGATGCAACGACGTGATGTGACATTCACGGTTTTGAAGTTCGCCATTCGAGTAAGTTACACCCCCTCCCCAATTCATTATACTCCTTTTTGCTAACACGCGCCTCAGACCCACCTTTTCCTGCCGTATTTCTTACAGTATGGCCTTACAACCTTTGGAACACCTGCTGCTCTGTCACTATGCCGCCATTTCTCTCATTTGTCCTACTTTGCTCATGGCCTGGAAATCTTGCTACACCACGTCCTGGATGACGAAGTGGATAACGAGAGTAAGGCCAGCAAATCCGAGAACCCAGCAGAACGCGAAGAGCCGCTGCTCCCAACCGTTATTGCTTTCCTTCAAGCGTCCCTCCCCATCAGGGAATATCTTGACATCGTCGTGCAATGCACGCGCAAAACAGAGCTGCGATCATGGCGTACATTGTTCGCTTATCTGCCCCCGCCAAAGGATCTGTTCGAACAAGCCTTGAGACTTGACTCGCTCAAAACTGCGGTTGGATATCTTCTCGTATTGCAAGCTTTCGAGGATGAGGAGCAAGGCCACGATGGCCGCATCGAGGAATATGTCGTGCGGTTGATCGGCTTGGCTTCGCAAAAAGGGGACTGGGAGTTGTGTGCTGAGCTGGCCCGCTTCCTCATAGCTCTAGATTCTTCGGGTGAGATGCTTCGACGCGCAATTACCCGAGTTGGCCTGCGTCCCAACTCCAGGTCCCCTGTCAATGGCCAGCGGCCTGGACCGGGCCCTCGAACTGGATCTGCAGGAGTGAAAGGGCTGGGCTTGAATCTCCCGATTCGATCTCCATCGTGGTCGTCTCTTTCTCCAACGTCGTCGATCTCACCCCTTCAAAGTGGGCGTGATGGTGATGTGTCAGACGAGAATCCCTATTCAGCAGATGATAGAGACAACTGACCAGGCTTTGCTGCTGTGCTGCTGTGACAGCACATATTAATATTTGTGTCCTCACTACGCGTGTAAATAATTGCCATTGGCAAATGAACGCTTGAATAACAGCCTTTTGTTTGAGTACATATGCTTTAATTCTTTTGCCACTTTCCATAGATTTCTCTCTAACAGACCTTGCATGTTATGGAATTTCGGGTCCAAGGCTCCCCGGCAGAAAGTACAAACAACACAAAGATAGTGGGTCTGCTCTACATTTTATCCAATCAAAGCGCACACATCCCAGCATCACGTGGATCCATCCCTGACGCCACAACCTTTATTCTATTTCAGCATCTATATCAGGGTGTTTCTATAATGGTATGTCAAGAACGCAATAATTTGATAGGTAAAAGAAGCCCGCAGAAGTACGGATGGAGCCCAAGAGCTTTGCGTGATGTTCAGGGGGTTTTCATTAACAAGGTGGAATATTGACTCAGTCAATTATCTTGCGTGCTCAATAGGGTACGTAAGTCAAATCCCCTGGTCCCTACTAGTGTAAAGGATCACATTCAGGGACCCGCGAAAGTTCAGCTAGAAGGCCCCTTGTGCACTCCCGCTGCAGGTGTCTCGCATAAAGAGGGAGGCTTATGATGTAGATCATTGATCACCGCCCGTAGTGGGCGGACCGTTGTGGATCAGGGAATAGTTGCAATAGTTCGTGCTGGTAGAAATGCCAAGCGAAATGCCAAGGGGCTCAATTCATCATCACGCTACGTGACGGTTGTGGCGTCTGATCATCCGGGTCGCTAAGGGTCCTGATCTACCCTCGTTGACGCGATCGTGTGGATTCGGTCACAATTATTGTTCATATTTGTGGAGAATGCCAAGTGTCGAGGAAGATCAAGGTACATGTAGAGTAGCCAACAGAAATAGCATTCAGGAGTTTGGGACGCGGTGCATATGATTTTAACCCACCCTGATGAAACTTGAGAAAAATATTCTGTACAGTTGATGGAAAAGGGTGAAGTGCTGGGTTTGATCGGCAGGGTAAGACCCATTCTGTAACAAGGCGACAAATGTAGTTACGTGCGGGCTTGACGTACTCTCTAGCAAGGGATCGGGCATTGGAATGCCTTGCGATGTCATCTGTATCGGATGTATGTATGAACTGAGCATCCATTTATAGTCTTATTTTTCGTCTTGTTGCTCTTGTTGTTTGAATCAACGTTCTTTCTTTATACTTTTGTCATTCTTTTCATACACTACACTCTTTACAGCATTTCCTAAGAACTCTTCAAAAAGACACAAATCTATAGAACCGAGTTGTCACAGTTATCATGGCCGCAGAGAAGAAGTCGCCGCAGCAGGCGACCATCAGCGAACTACCTCCCGGTTCTTCTTGCCCGTCTGAGGGTGCGTCGTCAAATGCCAGTTTATTGAAAGTGGTAGATTGGGACGGCCCAGATGATCCAGAGAAACCAGTGAATTGGCCTCGATCCAAAAAGAACCAGATTCTCGGCGCAGTGTGCCTAATGCGCTTCACAACGTACGTCAGGCTTCTGTATAATCCCTTTCAACATAAACAACTCGAACGCTGATTGATGATTGCAGCCCGCTTGCCTCATCGATGATGGCCCCGGCACTCTTACAAATTGAAAATGAGTTCAAATCATCATCAATGGTGATGAACTTTGCAGTCTCTATCTATGTCGGTCTTCCAAATACCAGAACTTCTGCTCAACGGGGTACGAATACTAACCTTAGTGGCCTTTAGATCATCGGATTCGGACTCGGACCCTTGGTGCTCGCACCACTCTCTGAAATTTACGGGCGAAACAAGATTTACCACGCCGGCAATGTTTTGTTCACTATTTGCACTGCATGCTGCGGTATCTCTCCAAACGCCACATCTCTCCTCATATTCCGACTGCTTTCTGGGGTTATGGGTGGCGCCCCATTAACAAATGGCGGAGGAACCATTGCGGACCTTATCCCCTCAAATGAGCGAGGATTGTAAGTACATTGGGAATTGACTGCATGCTCATACCCACTAATCCATTGTTTAGTATAATGAGTGTTTTCAGCCTGGCAATGCTACTTGCACCCGTTTTGGGCCCAGTGGCTGGCGGTTTCTTGTCAGAGGCTGCCGACTGGCGATGGATCTTCTGGCTTTTGACCATTATGGTATGTTAGTTCCCGTTCTTGAAAAATTTCAAAGGCTAATGAGACATCGAATATTTCAGAGTGCTATCACAGCAATTGTAGGATTCATCTTCCTGCGGGAAACCTATGCCCCCACACTTCTCGAACGAAAAGCTTCTCGACTCCGCAAGAAGACTGGAAACCCAGACCTCCAAGCCGCAAGCAAATCGCCCCTTCCTCTTCAGCAACTTATTTTCCTTGCTATAATGCGTCCGATGAAGCTGCTCTGTACCAGCCCCGTCAGTATTGTGATGGCCCTTTACATGGGACTGATCTACGGCATTATCTACCTTCTGTTTACCTCGTATACTGTGGTATTTCAACATCAATACGGCTTTAGTCAAGGAGTTGCAGGTCTCGCATACCTTGGCATGGGACTGGGTTGTGCCACACAGCTGTTCCTGGGCCACTATAGTGATAAGCTTCACACTAAACTCACGCAGCGCAATGGCGTTGAGAGAGCAGAGTAAGTTCTGTCTGTTCACTTGTATTTGGTGATTTTGGCCACAAATACTGACTTTATTATGTCCAGATATCATCTTTTGATGCTGATTCCCGCTGCCTTCGCGCTTCCTGTCGGATTGATCATTTATGGCTGGACAGCACAGTATCACATTCACTGGATTGTTCCAATCTTTGGCACATTCTTTATTGGCGTGGGTTTCTCAGGCTCAATGGTAAGATTAGACGTTTCCTTCCCCCCCCCCTTCTCTCTCTTCTGCCACGTACATACTAACACATATTCTCTATCTAGACCAGCGTCCAAACATACCTGGTCGGAGCTTTTACTGCCTACTCTGCTAGTGCACTCGCCGCGAACAACGTTGTACGCAGCATAATTGGTGGTGTAGTGCCACTCTCTGGGCCGGATATGTACGGCAAACTCGGACTTGGCTGGGGAAACACATTGTTGGCCCTTCTAGCCTTGGTATTCGGACTGGCTCCTTTATGGTTTTATCGGAACAAGGAGCACCAAAATGAGAGCAAACGCATCCCAGTTTAATTGGGATATACAGTCATTTTTTGTACTTTTCTTTTCCTGTGTTTATTTTCTGTACTTCTTGTCTATTTTCACATGTTCCCTCATTCAAAAGCCGAACAGGTGTTTCTTTACTTGCTTGGCTATTCGCATATACATAGATCAATTACAGTATTTGCCGTTGGCAGCTCAGCACCAACTTGTTTGATTGAGGTCCCGTTCAACACCTGGACAACTAAGAACCAATTACATAACCTTTGCTTATCAACGAGAAGAGACATAATGAAAATTAACGCGAATACTACTTAACCATGGGCATAAGGCATAGGTTTAACGAACCCAAATTCAAGGAGAGGACTAGGAGATCATACCCTCATGAGCACGAGGGCAATGGAACAAATCCACCTTGCTGAACGAACATGTATCAAACCTCCCGCATTCTACTAAACAATCCCTTAAAAGCCCTGCGGCTTCTGTATTCTTGCTAACTCGGGATGGAGAACGTAAATGGGATCAAGTTCTTCGACACATCCACAAGCAGGGTCGTTCAGACTGTAGCCCATAAACTTCTGGACTTCGCGATCGTACTGCTTAACCAAAATTTCCGGATCGGCTAAATTTTGATTTTCTCCTGCCTCAGATAGCCACTTATCATGAAACACGAATAACTTAGACGATATTCATCCGCGATGTTGGTTCCACCTTCATGATAGCCGGACGAAAATAGGATCAGCGCGTCGCCCTTGTCGAGTGTCGGTATGATACAGTGTTCTGGCCTTGGGGTCGTTATGCGATGTATTCCCTTTATCGGAACAATTCAGATTAGCATTGAGTTATACCTTCAACGAATTGAACTTTGCGCTCGCCATAGATGACTACCTGGAATCAGACACACGCATGATTGTTGTCTTGAGCTTTGGTTTTGGATACGATGCTGTATTTATCCAATGCATTTACTCTGCCGAGTCTCATACTTTTTAAGAGCTAGACACTTGAATGTATCACTTTGTAATACATCCTTGATGTAGGTAGTGTTGAATTGCATAACGTTAAACTACACTACCTTAAAGCAGAACTTCTGCCTTGTGGCCTTAGACACGAGGTGTCCAAAACCTTAAGCCTACAGCTGTGCAGTCAAGGGGCAGTCTGGCATTCCTCTGTACACAATCCTCGTCAAAATAAAAGAATGATTCCATATCTGACAGCTCATCATACACGTCAGGTACCAAGCTCCATCTTCGACGTCAGTGATCCGCCGGTTAGCATCCGAGCCTAACCTTAACCTGTGGAGTGTATTCAACTCCCAAGACCATCGGCAAGTTCTGATGACGGTTCGGCTATTCCGTCTGCGTGTGCGGACGCTGTTGGTAGCATTTACTCTCGCCATCCTTCTCACCTGGACCCTCTCACGATGGCGTACCGCATACGTCCCATCGAATGACAGCACTTCCGCCCATTCCTTCGGACCCATCTCCGACTTGACAGCATTACACCAGAGATTTTGGCGGGAATTCCACACACTCTTGGAAAACAATGCGCCTAACACGACGGCCCCGGTGACTGAGGAAGAAAAGGCCCAGGCAGTAGGATTCAAATATAAAGATGCACCGCCGCGTCCGAATTACCTGCACGTCCCGGAAAATGATATAGCCATAATGAAAGATGCGCATACCAAATTCGTGGGCGCAATCTCCCACTCTCCTCCTCAACTCAGCTACATACCCGGCACAAAGGGCGTGGTCTCGACCGCAGGCGGTTCCTACCTCCCAGTGCTAGTGATTTCGCTGCGAATGCTCCGCCGGACAGGGTCAACGCTACCGATGGAAGTGTTCCTGGCCAATGAAGATGAATACGAGGAATATATCTGCGATGAAGTGTTGCCATCACTGAACGCGCGGTGTCTAGTGCTATCTCGGATTCTGAGCGTTTCGCCGGCTAAGATCGAGAAATACCAATACAAGCCATTCGCAATGCTTTTCTCTTCATTCGAAGAAATCCTGTTCCTCGATGCTGATTCTTTTCCATTGGAGAAGCCAGAAGATCTGTTCTGGGATGAGCCTTTCCGTTCAAGGAAGATGGTCACTTGGCCTGATTTTTGGGCTTCCTCCGCCTCGCCTCTCTTCTACGAAATCGTTGACCAGGTTGCTCCGCCAATGGGACTGCGACAGTCAACTGAATCTGGGGAGGTACTTATATCGAAGAAGACCCATACGCGAACCCTCCTGCTCTGTACTTACTACAACTATTGGGGCCCGTCTCACTACTACCCACTCCTATCGCAGGGCGCTGCAGGGGAAGGTGATAAGGAAACCTTCGTGGCTGCTGCATCAGTTATGCAAGAGCACTTCTATCAGGTCAGCGAGTCGATTTGTGCTCTAGGTCATCGTACCTACGGTGGTATGGCTGGCTCTGCAATGGCCCAATTCAACCCCATTCAGGACTTCAGATTAACCAGCCAAGGCAAGTGGCGGGTTCGGGGCGACGAGGCGCCAGCACCAAGCGTTTTCTTCATTCACGCCAATGTTCCCAAGTTCAACCCGGCTACTGTCTTCGATCACGGTGCAGTCAACCCTGCTTTTGCCGATGATGGTACCTACACTCGTGCTTGGACAATTCCTGAAAATGTAGTCAAGGACTTCAGTTCCAAGGTTGATGTTGAGAGGGCTTTTTGGCAAGAGATTCTTTGGACGGCGTGTGAGCTTGAAGATAAGTTCTCCTCATGGAGGGATTATGTTGGTATATGCGCTTCTGTGAAGGACTATTGGAGCGTTGTTTTCGGAGAGTAAAGGCTTCACACGTGAACATGCAAGAGGCCCAACCGTTCAGACTCATAGATATCACCAGCTCGGCAAATATCCTTTGGGTTACCTTGCTCTACTCTCACTTCTTAATCACCAAACGCAGTCACGGCAGCATGTCAATCGACAAACACTTGCCGAATGATGCCGGAAATTCCAGGTCTACATCCGAAGCCTATCCAAAAACCAAGTCCTAACCTCACACCATGGACAACTCTGGCTATTTGAATAAGAAATACGGAATAGCCATGTCAACTGGTCTGGCGCACGCTATGTGCTCTCAGTCATCACTTTCCACATCTGCTTCACAGCTGATACCCAATCAATCTTCTTCAAAACGTTAGAAAGTCACTAGTAATATAATCCCATAATATCCAGATTTCCCGTCATGTACAGTAGATCCAGTCCAAGTTTTCCAACTCTATAACAAGGTCCTTAAAATCAACCGCAACGCTCATCAGTAATCTCGGGCTTTGCCGCATAGACACCAAACAAACACTCAGCCGCCTGGTCTTCAGCAAATACCCATCCCATTTCACGAAGGACTGAAATTTGCTCCGTCTCACTCTCACGGTCCACTTCCAGAATAATCAAATCCCCGTCTTTTCTCATCATTTCAATCGTCAACCACATTCACCTGCGGTGAAGGCTTAAATCAGGCCATTTGCCAACAGCACAGATCATTTGCTGTGTCCATGCATAACCTCGATCCCCGTCTTGATCCACTTTTACTTTCCCTCTGGGAAATCCGTCATCATCAGCAGTCCGCCTTGCGCATATTGCTCTGTTGTTTGGGTGGATATGCATTCTCTTGAATTTCCCTAGGGGTATGTATTTGTAGATCATAGGGACGTTGATGATATGTGCTGAATCTGGATATGACCAGAGATCGCCAGCACAATATTCAACTCTATGAGTGGATACAATGCCTTTGTTGCATGAGGCATCTTCAGCTACTCCGTCGGCCATACGGCTCGAATGGGAAAGCCACAGCGACGATTGCCATCACAATGTAAAGCGCGGCACAAATGTAAATCGGTACAGGTGTGTTGGTCCAATTTATGATCAGCTTTACTTTCACAAAAGGTGTCTTTATATAGAAGAGGGAATGTATTGACACTTACATCGGCGGCCTGACCGACCACAGCGCTGACGATTCCCATGATTCGATTTAGTCCAATAGCGACACCGTTCCCTGTACCACGATGAGCAGATGGGAATACCTGTCAAAGAGTTAGTATCAAACAAGGGATCCAAGATAGCCATCATGGAATCAGTATACAAAGGAGACAAACCTCAGGCGTGTAAGCATAAAGAGTGCCATAATAAACATTCAAGCAGAATGAGATAGCACACGTAAACCCAACATTTTGACTGGCAGTGCGGACTTGGGTGTAACAGAAGAAGAAAATCATTGTAACCACAGCGCCAATAATCATAGTACCCCGACGGCCCCAGAACCAAGGCGAGCGACACATAAATCCCGCCAACACCGGACCGAAGATACCACAGGTATTGTTGATAGCATAGTTCCGCCAGGTGATATAAGGGCTATCTTCTCCGAAATTGGCGCCGCGGCTCGCAAGGTAGCTGGGCAGAAACACGTTGTAGAGTGGATAGGCGAGACCGATGAGGAGCCATGAGAACCACACCAGTGTGGTAGATAAGCCCATCTTGCGGGTTGCAAAAAGTCCACGGAGGTGGAAGAATACTTCGCTTGGGGAGATCAGTCGTGTCAACCAGCTGGATCCTGCTTTTTGTCTTTGGACAATTTGTCCGCATGCTTGCAGGCGCTCAATGGTGAGACTGCATGGGCGGTCATATTTATTGGCGATGTTTTGTAGGACTCGTACAGCTTTCTCGTCTTGGCCCTCGGAGATGAGGAATTTGGGTGTCTCTTCAAGTCGGATGATTGTGATTCGAAGTATGGAGAGAAGAAACACCAGGGCACCAGATGTATACCATACATAGCGCCATCCTTGGTTGTTGGCCCGGGTACAGGTGGCTGCGTCGCTGCATGAATAATTGGGAATAAAGGCCCAGGCAAATAACCCTGCAATGAGCTGACCGAGGCCTAGTTATTCCAAGTTAGTATATGGCTCTCCAACAAGAGCTTCGGATAAAATGAAACTCACCCCACCACGCAGCCATTAGTGTTAATAGCCATTGTTCTCTGCTAGGCAGATACTCCAGGAATACCGTAGTATCCAGTACCAAATTTCCCCCAGCGCCGAATGCACTCAAGCAAACAAACAATCCGAGTGTAATCCAAGACGGCGAAGCCCCTGCAACTATAGTGAAAACCGACGAGACAAATAGCGAGAAGTTAAAGGCAAAGCGACGGCCGATTATATCCGCTGAAAATCCCCAGAATATGGCACCCACCAGCATTCCAACATAGACCGCAATTGTAAGACCCGTGGCATAGCCAGGTTGAAATTCTAGCCTAGCTTGCGTCGAAATGATAGACTGAATCAAGAGAATGAGCGAGTCGACCGCATATCCGAATCCGTTCAAACAGAATAGCTTCCAATGGTGAGCAGTGAAACCAATCTCATCGATGGTCTAGAGATACGCGAGTCAGCTTTTAGTTCTCATGCATGGGGTATATACCTGTCTCACATCGTTGATTAGCATCATCTTAGCAGCTAGAGCTTCGTCGACTTTCTCCCCCTGCAAGATATCGGTGTCGCCATGTTGGATCGATCTTTCAGCCGGAGATGGGTCTCTCTGGCTTTTGTTCTTGTCCACGGCACTCTTGGCCGATCCGGCACTCGCTGCAGAGTCCATGGGAGGCAGGGAGGTCTTTTCCTAGTCCGAGAGTGAAGGTAGGGTTAAGAAAAGAGGAAGAAAAGCCCCACGAAGCCACGGAAGGGTGAGGCACAGTCCATTTTATCTTCATCTTTGTTAGCGGCTTGCTTAGGTCCCGCCTATTCGTCTGGTTCATTTACTTCGACGCTTATCCATTGGTGAACTTTACCGCCACCTTGTCGATGTGCCGCTGAATCGGACCCAAAACCAAATGAGAATAGCGACTCAGTCAAAGAATAAGTTCACAGTATATTCTAACGTTATCTTATGCTCAGGACTTTTCAACATCCATCTTAAGTTGGCCTCTTAGGGGGTTCTTTCAGGGTTATCCCTTCTAAGCCGAGGCCTGGTGCACGAGCCCTTTCCCGCGATCATTACTGGCGGGGAGAAATGCAAAGGCGCTATTCCCAATTAGCGATTTGCCAATGTAAAACGGAAATAGGAGGTCAAATCATAGTTGAAAAGAAATATGTGGCTAATACGCAGAGGTGGCATGTGGTACGCTGTGCAGGACCCAGATTACTTGAATCTGGTCTATTTCATACATACTGGAAAAAGTACACCAGCACCCTATATTTCAAGCTTAAATAGAGCAATTTCAGTTCTTGACATTCCCGGAGATATGCTCGTTCTCTCCAAATTGTTTCAGAATTAACAGGGGTTCAATGTTTACAGTTCACCTGGATCCAAGCCCGTGGGACAGATATTTCATTTCATTTCGTCGAGCACATAATAATCACCACACAATCCAGAGGTATATGCCAACAACATCAAAAAGATCTTTCACAGACAGAAAATATTCCCATAAACCGCCCTAAACCAATGCATGAATTAATCCAGGTGCATCCTCCACAATCCATCACCAAGATAGTGACCCTCATCCATAACAACACCCTTTCCTTTGCTCTTGATCTCCTCGGTGCCAACCTTCAGCATACCGACAAGACAAACCTCCTCCTTGCCCTCAGCCTTGACAGCAACAATTTGCCCAGCCTCGATAGCGTGCTCGGCATCAGGCAGTCTACCCCCAGGGGAGGTAAGGCCGGGAGCCATAAGCGTTGCGCCAGATAGCACGAATCGAATGGCACCGCGGTCGATCTGGATTGTCGGGATGGCAGAGGGGTATTGGTGGATGAGGCGGAGATGCGGGACGGGAGGTCCGTCGATAGGTTGGAAGAACAGAGGTGTTGAATCTATTGTGTAGAGGGTGACGCGCTCGGGGCTGAGTAAAAGAAGGAAGATCCTTGGTTAGCTTTGCGGTCTGTATTGCTGGATGCAGGGCAGATGGCGGGCGAAAAAGTCGATATAATCGTGCTGGGTATGGGGTACAAGGAGTGGGACTGTACAGTTTTACGGCTTCCAATGAGGCCTTCTTTGGCATGACATCTTCAATGAATGGCTCGAGGCCGGGGTAGGTCTCCAGTAGCTTTTGGCGCAGGCCGCGCTGCACGGAGGACTTAACCTTTGATCGGTTGCTGGGGGGAATACTAGGGGGCAAAAAATATCAGCGTATGGTTCTTTGGGGCCCTGCATCCTTCTTGACCACTAGTGGCTGTCTAAACAACCCCATCCGAGGGATTTGACAGCTCTTGCGGCCTTGCGGTGTCCGAGTTTGAGAATTGTGCACTCCCCATTGGTGACGCGGCTCAGTCATGCAAGTGCAATATCTGGATGGTATCTCGGGGTTAATGAAGGCGTTTACTCACTCTTTTTTGAACATTGTGCTGGTTGAGGCTGCAATACCGTGAAAGCGAAGCTCGTGTGGTGGGATGCCGCGGGGAGATTGGTCACGTGCTGTATATTATATCGGGAGTGGAGCGTTGAAAGATCACCATCGATGTTTCTTCAAGACAAAAATAGTTCAGAATCACTCAATTCAAGGTAGCATTTATGGACATCGGAAATCATGCAGTGCCTGACATCTGTTTCGACAACAAAACTATCAATCCTTCTCTCTTCAAGGCCATAAATCCCTAAACTACATAAAAGTCGTCGTCGCTTTCAGCCTTGATACCCTGCTTGGTATCCTCCTTCTCTCCCTTTATGCCAAGCTCTTTGATTCCATCTGAGTCATAGATGATTTCAACTTTGTTCTCGGTCTTGACTTTCTCATCTTTAACGTCTGTGAACTCCTCTTCTTTATCCACGGCAATAACAACATGAGACATGTCTGCCGAAGAAGCATCCATGCTGTTCCCTTCCTCATCGGTAATGTTCTTCTGTCTCTTCTTTGCGGGGGTGCGAGGACCAAGCTTTCGCTTTTGGGGTGTATTGGTAGGAGTATGGTCGTTCTCCGCGAGCCCTTCTTCCGCCTGCTTCTTGAGGCGAGAGATACGATATCTCACAGAGTTGGCTGTAAATTCTGTCCTTTATATTAGCAAGATATCATTTGAGCGTTCAGGGTGCATACCGGGTCCGATAAAGCTGGCAACCTTGTCCATGTCGAGGGTGACGTTCAGATCCTTCAGTTGGCTCACAACCCCGAGGAGGATCTGAAGATGTCAGAATGGATCATAGCCTAGGTATGGCAAGTTTTGACTTACTCTGCCGTCATTTTCGATGTTCCACTTTGGTGGCATGATGGGTCGAAGTGTGGGTGGTGAGCAGTGGAGATGAAGAGAAAGTAAAGGAGTTGATGAGAATGGTGGTGTCGAGGTGTTGGCTTCGAGTTGTGGAAGGCGAGCAGTGAAGATGTAGAAGTAGCGAAAGAGCAAAAGGTCGATGAGGATTGTGGTGTTGAGGTGTCGAGCTTACCAGGCCATTTCGATCGGCTTCCTGGTTGTTTATGGTTGCGTGTTGGAATCGTATAAAGGACAGACCCAATATAGATACTAGATACAACCTTACTTCACGAGCAACGTTCTCACATCCAATAAAGCCGTTCTCCCTTTGCCTAGACACCGACCTACATATATCCGAAATCTAGCATTTATATCCCCCATCCAAGGGAATTGTGATAGAACCTGGACTGGGCTCTATAAGCCTATATGTGAGAAGGTCGTTGGAGTGTTAGCTCAAGAATTTCCTCAAGAATTTCCTCATATTTGCATCATTATAAAAACTGTCCAAAAGGGGGCACGCAACTGTTTTGGAATTTACAATTATTTTCTATCTTCGATGTCGAGAGTAGTATTGATCTTCCAGTCTATGTACCTGTGCCCACAGAATGTCGCTCATTTGCTTTAAATGGTATCTTTCCACATGGGAGACAGCCAGGTGGATTGGTCACGTTGTTACAGGTGATAGTTACTAGTTGTGCTGATACAGATAGAAAGTAGATAGTTTTATTCACAAGATTCATTCAGGGATATAATTCATAGACGTATTTTCTATCTGAACCTAGTGCTTGGCAGCACCAGCCTTGATAAGGAGGATATCGCCATCCTCGACGACGTAATCCTTACCCTTGGTCATGATCTTACCAGCGGCCTTGACGGCAGCTTCATCACCGAGTTCGCGCAGAACACTGTAGTTGTACGCAATAGCCTGAATGAAAGTCTTCTCGAAGTCTGTGTGAATAACACCGGCCGCAGCGGGGGCCTTGATACCCTTACGGATGGTCCATTGGCGAACCTCATCCTCACCAGTGGTGAAGAAGCTGGCCAGGTTGAGAACCTTGCGCATGGTGGTGATGACCTTGGGCAGACCAGATTGGGTGTTCAGGTTCTTGCACTCCTCAGCAGCGGCGGCATCGTCGTGCATCAGAGTCAGACGCTCCTCGAACTGAGCCGAGATGGGCAGGATGGGGTCACCAGGGGAGTTGGCCTTGATCCATTCGAAGACCTTGGGGAGGTACTTGTTCTTCTGACGAATGTAATCTCTCTCGCTCAGGTTAACCAAGTACACCACAGGCTTGGCAGTGAGGAGGAGCAGAGGGTTAATGACTTCGACCTAGAAACCCGTTGGGTTAGCATGAGGTTTCACAAAAAGTATTGAGTGATGCAATAGAAGATGTGACTCCAATTTCAGTTTATAACTTTTGTTCTCAAGGTGCCCTCTTCGTGAGTTTATAAATTGAGGGCACTCGAAGAGCTGGGTTTGATTCGAGCAAAGCTCTTATTCATCATTGTAGGAGTGGTGGTTGCAGGGTAAAGGTAAAAGACGGGGAAAGAAAGAGTTTTGAACATACCTCTTTGGGTGTCCAGTCAGTCTTGCTGCGGATGTCATGACCATCCTCGAGGAACTTAAGAATGAACTCAGTGGTGGCCTCCTCTTCCTTCAGCTTCTTCATCTCAAGGGACTGTCCGCCACGACGGGTCTGCTTCTTCAGAGCTTCAAGAGCCTTGGTCACAAACTCAATATCCTTGATGCGCAGCTCCTCGTTGATGATGGTCAAATCACGGCAAGGGTCAACATCACCCTCGACGTGAATGATCTCGGCATCATCGAAGCAGCGAACAACCTGGAAGATGGCATCGACGGCACGAATGTGCGACAGGAAAGAGTTACCCAGACCAGCACCGGTGGAAGCACCGCGAGTCAGACCAGCAATATCATAGACGGTCAAGTTAGCGGGAACCTGGGACTTGGGCTTGTAGTGGTCAACGAGCCAGTCGAACCGCTCATCGGGGACGATTACGCGGGCCTCCTCGGGGTCAATGGTGGCGAAGGGGAAGTTGGCCGGGTTACCCAGGGAGGACTTGGTGATAGACTGGAAGAGTGTCGACTTGCCGACGTTGGCAAGACCAACCTAAAGCCATTGTTAGATGGATGGTGGTGGAAAAGAAAGAGAAAAAAGTGAAAGGCAGGGGACAGGGGGAGTTTAAATAGTTTGTGTGGAATTAAAAAGTGGACTGTGCTGGGAAAAAAAGGAAAAAAAGGGTGGGGGCCTTTGCTCACATACGATACCACTCTTCAGGTTGTTTCCGGGACGACCCAGGTAGACCTTCTCCTGAACTTGCTGCTTCTTGGGAGGCATTTTGTTGGATTTTTTCTTCTTGCTTGAGTAGAAGCGACAGAAGAGAGGTGGGAGGTGGGGGGAGGTGGAAAGGCGGAAGCGGGAGCAGGGATGGAACGCGCCAAATGCAGGACCAGCTGCGGATCGATCGACGATACGAAGGAAGAGTAAGGAGGAGGTGGAAGACGTGATGCCGGCGCCCACAATTGGAGTGGGCAAGATCAATGAGAAAAGGAGAGTAAATGAGTGCGTGTTTGGCAGTCAAGAACCAAAAGTGACGAGGTTGCGCCAGATGTCATCGAATTTTCTGCCTGCAAAGAATTTACCGCCCACGTGATGGCTAAGCCCTGACGACGTCACAATACGTAATTTATTGTAGAGAAGAACAAAGTTGATCTGTTCGTGGGAGTAATTGGCAGGGTAGAAGCTATGTCGGTATGATCTATTCAACCTTGGCCATCAGTTCAAGGACAGGCACTACAACGTACACCACATGGACGACCTCCGTGTCGTTGCCGCCGTTCAATCAATAACATGGATGGCTTCTGGACTATTCACTATTTGCACAAGCTATTATTACAAATAGATTTATCATGGGTGCTTGTAAACGAGACCAAGCGGAAAGCATTGCAGCAAGGTGGCAGTCCGGTTATCAAGGATAAACAAGAGCGAGCCCAAAGAAAAACCTATGGTACAAATACAGCACGAAATGAAATATGTCATCTCCAATCTCGCCCCAGCAGAGATATAATAATGCAAACCCTTTTGCCAAGGTAACCCAGTCCGAACTTCATGAACGCCACGAATAAAAATAGGAAGAAAAAGAAATAGACGAGGTATAAACGAAACAGAGATGAAGATCGCTATAGATCCATTGCATCGCCATTTTCTGACACGGTGTCAACCATATCCAGCAACTTAGCATAAGGCACAGTCACACGTTGAAGATCACGGTGTTTGCCTAAACAAGCATTCGTTAGCAAACAAAGCATTGGGAAAAGATATCACAGTTGACAGTAACATACCGAGTGCCAGAATCACTTCCTTCAATAATGTCTCCCGGGGCCAGCCGCATAGATCGTCAGATCCCTCGCGCCAGTTCCGGCCCTCACGCTCATTCGCCTGCAATTTCAGGATTCCCTCAGTAGTATCATCATCCTCGAAAAGACCGCCGATTAAGCCCTTCAGCAATTCCTCGACCTTCAGCTTCAACCCCTCCGCGCCGATACGCTTGGCGTACATGGACAGGTATAACCGGAACTCTTCCTTGGCACCTAGAGACAAAGCAGCGGCAAGACGGTTCTCGAGATGCGCGATGGATACGCTGGACTCAAATGTCTCGTACCCCTCGCGAGACAACAGGACTTTGATCAGACGCTGGAGGAAGTACGCCCGTCCACGAAGTAGGGTCTCGTTGGTAGTGTTCCGCTCGAGCCAGGGGATGATGCCAGCTGCAACAGCTGCCTTGGCATCCTTGTTGTCTTGCTGTGCATCCTTGGCCTGCAGGTTGTTTACGGGTGCGTCTGTGGTGTTCCAGTATTGACTGCCTACAGCCCACCACGCTTCAGAGATGCGCTGCCACGTGAACATGGCTGGAGAATATGAGTATCCTTCACCGTTAGATAGGGAGACGACAACCCGACCCTCCGAGTTGATGCGTGCATCTGTCACTGCCGGGGCAGCGGTTGGGTTCGCACCCAACGTGTGAATTGCTGCATCTAATACGGGCTGGAGAGAAACTGGTGGGTGAGGAGAAGATAGGTGCTTCACGTTCCAGACGTAGCACATGCCCACAGAGGAAATGCACAAGATCCATGGTCCATTGCACTCTAGAATGACCGGCTGTGCTTCGAGAACTAGTGCACTCACCAAACGACGACCTGACGGTGTCCAGAGGTAGATTGACCCATCCTCGCAACCAGCTGCCCACATGCTTTGATTTCCAGTGACTAGAAGAACAGTCCGTGGCAAGAAGTCCTGCCACAGCGGTTGCTCCCCGCGGAACAAAGTCAAGCGTACTGGTTCCCGATCCACGGCGCGGCCAGTCAGACTCGCTGGGGAGGGATTCCGAGCTTCGAAAACCACGTCCACGCGGCCCTTACTACTGCTCGAGTCCGCACCAGTACCAGGAGGTTCGGTTGGTTTCCCGCTGGTATCCAGCGCGCGGAGAATCTGGCTGCGGATCTTGGGAACAGCTAAACGAAGCTGACTGACTGACATGCAAGGATTGGTGACTGCAGGGCGAATGAAATCTGGGGTAGGCTGTTGGCCAGTCGCAGCAGACTGTACTTGGGCCGGGAGGAGACCATCGGGAGTGTTGGCCATGATGGGAGTTGCGCCATTTTGGCTGGCTAGAGTTACCCGTTTTTCAACGCTGCCATCTTCATCGCCCTCCATCTGGGCTAGCTTTCGCTTGTTTCCGAGGAGAAGAGTGGTCAAGCCACCCTTAGGAAGACCGTCGAATGGTTTTGATAAGTCCACGATGGTAGTCGGAGCATCTGCTTTGACTTGATTGCTGACTGAAGCCATCAGACGAGCTTGTGGAAGAGATGACTCGCCCGCCCCAGCTCCTGAGACTAGCAATGGTGCAATGCGCTTTTTACCTTCCTTGGTGTATGTTGGGCGCTGCTTGAGCCTTTCCAGCTTGGCCTGGTAAGGATCTGGCTTTTCAGATTCCGACGCAGCGGGGGTTGAAGCACTTCCATTGGGCTGTACTTTGTTGGTCTCGGGGGCCGGTGAAGAGGCACGAGCAGGAGTCGCCCCGTTGGAAGGTTGCGGTGCCTTTTCTCCATTTGCAGTAGGCTCCGCGTCGCCCATCAACGCACCCATTCGTCCTTCAACACCCTTGATCTCACCTGCCTTGCTTTTTTCTTCCAAAAGCAGACTATCTGTGGTTTCTGTGATCCCCGCGCCCTTTCGATTTGTTCCAAACTTGGTGAGCGATTTCTCATTCTCTTCCATTTCCGTGGCCCATCCCAGCTCTCCATCTTCGAATCTGACTGCCACAATTGTGCCATCTAGGGCAGTAGCAAAGAGACACTTCCCATCGGGGGTCCATGCCAGGTCCGAAATCGCCTTGGCAGCCATCTCTTGGGCGACAACTATCGGCCGAGCGTTGCTAGTGATCCAAATACTGAGGGACTTGTCTCCTCCAGCACAGGCAATGACAGTGATGTGATGTTGGGCTGTAGAGCCCTGGCCATCCGTTTTCTTCTTGTTGGGTGGCTCGGTTGCATACAGTCGCGGAGAGAATGAGCAAACCTCGACTGGTGCTTCGTGGCCGATAAGATTGATATCTCCATCCCAGGACCCACGGTTGATAATAGCCACAGAGCTGACAGGCCCGTTTACGGCATTTGCAGCAGCGATATGCATCCCATCTGGTGACCATGAACATCGACGGAAGTATGCTGTCAAAGGAGAGTTGGCGAAAGGAGCGGTAATAGTCTGTTCGAGAACAAAGTTGTTCATCTGATCGTGGGCAGAGGAATTCGGAGCAGGAGAGGTGAATCGAAAGATGCGGACGGTACGATCATCGCTGGCCGTTGCGAAGTATTTGTTGGCGGGGTCGAATGTGATACCTTTAACGTGACTTTGATGGATTGCTATCGTCTTCAACTTTTCGAATGTATGACCGGACCACACCACGACCTTCGAATCCAGCCCGACGGATACGAGAATCGAGGAGTCATTCGACCATCCGAGGTCTTGGACATCATTGTCATGACCGATCAATCGTCGAATTGTGCGCCAGTTCTCGACTGGGGGTGCTTCATCCGTGCCTGTGTATTTGCAATAACTGTAAGTGTCTGGGTCTGACTTTGGTGGCCGAAATGTTTGAAACGTACCGAATGTTGACGAGTGTGTTGGAGGGTTGGCGTCGAGCATGTACACGCAAACGATCTTGTCATCCGCACCCGACGCAAGGTATTTCCCATTGGGCGAAAAGCGAACAGTATGGATGGTGCCTGAGTGGTTGCTCATCGACGCCAATTGTTTCGGTTTGCCCGCAAGTTCAGCATTTCCGGTACCATAAATGGCCTCAGTGGACCAGATCCGAACGTAACCATCTAGAAAACATCAAGTGCCCGATATCAGTAATAATTCCTCGGGTGTGCGCATGCTGTGCGATCCGAATCATGCCAGGAAGGGTCATGCTCACCTCCAGCGGCCGTCACTAGTCGTTTCCCATCTGGCGAAACATCACAGCTATAAACCTCGAAGTCCTTGCGTTCACCTGTACGAAAGAATGCCGTTAGCAAAATCCGTCCAGCATGGAGTGTTTTCGAATATGAAGGGTTATGTCGGCGTCCGGAGGACCAACGGATAAAGAAATCCAGGGCGATTGAACCCGTACCTCCGTGTGTGAGCCAGACCGGCTTGATGATGTGCATCGCGCCAGCCCGAGAGCAGTCACAACTGCTAATTTTTTTCCTGGGCTTGTCCGGATGGTCGGGCTCGACTGAGCGTCACGTATCAGCGCTATGCGCGAGGGAGGGCAAGGAGGGGCGCGGTCGTGATCGGGGATAGAGCTGGGCTTCAGGTATTGTTCTGGGACATGACAGGGCCCAAATAAGAACTAGGGTAGAAGAGAATGTGTCAAGGTACGGATGAGCAGGGGAGGGGATGAGAGCCGGAGATTAAGGGCGCGATCCAAAAGTCGCGATCTCCAGATTTGCGTGGTCCGAGCTCCCGCGTTATAGCTACAGCCTTAAATGTTCTTTTTTTTTTTTTTTTTTTTTTCTATTTTGCTTTGAAATGTAATAAAACTTGTTTATTTTTCATTCCAGGTCCTTTGATATTCCTGTTGTGATCATAACTCCAAAGAGAATAGAGTAAAAGCTGCCTTGTCTGGAGCTATGGCCGTTTACCTCATGTCTTATATGCTACCGTGACTCTTGATAGTTCGAAAAGACGGAAAAGGAAAGGAAGTGAGGCTTACTGAAAGATCTGATGTCTAACAATACCTACGAACCGCTAGGCCTGAGTCTAACACTAACAACCGGGCTAACGTTGTTGAATTTCAGAAAGGCGATATGATATTGCTGCTGATATAGCACTTGCTACGGGTCGGTTAAGGATGACATTATATATATACTTGATTGCTTTTTCTTCATGTTCCTACCAAACACGCCTTTTCTCGAAGCCGGCGCTATTACCTATACGTGGACCTGCAGGACCGCTGTCTTCCAAGGTTATTCCAAGGTTTGGTCTGACACATGCCGCCTTTAGGATGGCAGAGTAGTTAGATAT